TATATCTATGACGCCAGTAGATAATAAATATTATCGCGACATATTATTTCTTAATATGTACGTACTAAAGAAACTATATAAGGCTTTTTTTTGTGTTTATTTTTAAGCATTTTTGGCGCACACTACTATAACCGAGAAACAAGAGTAAACATTTTATTTCGTAGAATTAAGTTGCGCTCAAATAGGTATGTATGGTGAGGCTTATAAGTAACTTATTCCCCCACAAGCTTTTAGTAGTTCAAATGTTGCATATTATATAGACTTTCCTACCCTCATCGTTAAGACCTATTGCTGCCTAGAGGAGCCCTTTTGCATACACCAATCTTACGAACTTTTAGCTTTAGTCGAATACGTTTTCTAACCGGCAACTGCAACGAAAACACAACTATTTTCAGAAGGAAAACTTGAAGCAGCACTTTGGCGACAAATATCTCACCCGGAACAGAAACAAATTTTTATGCGACTCAGACTGTCAACTCGAGGAATGCTACTCAAATGATTGGAGAAATGTTTATGCCATTACAAAAGCAACAATAAAACTTTATAATTATTATTATAAACAACAATACATTTTACATAAATTTCATTATGCTCGATTGAGTTTAGTAAATCCAATTTCAACTGGACCTCTAACCACCTCAAAAACACGATAAAGACCACAGAAGTTATTTAAGAACTTAGTTAATTAGTTGTATGTTATACTTTTGAATCACGCTGTATGGTAAATAGTTTTTTTGTTATTTCGATTGCCCAAATACATACTTTCGTCGGTATTGGTTCGTGCGTCATACTGGATTATTTGCGACATTAAAATAACAAAAAAATTAGCTTATTATTTATTAAAATGTTAGTTGCTATTTTTTGATAAACATGATATTTTTCGACTTTATGACAATTTGATTAAGTGATAAGACATGCGTTTGCGTTTAACATCACTTCACAATCATAATTGTAGGCTTAGATAGCGAATGCGACATATTTGATGAGAGCTTGTAGATGGTAAGTAATTTTTTAAGTAAATTAAAGTCGAATTTTGCTTATATGATGATGAAATAACGCAAGGGGTTTACAGTAGTATGACAAAGAAATGAGTGTGTGAAAGTAAAAGATCTGATATGTGAGAATCGTGGCCATGGAGAAACTTTATAATATGCATAAAAATATTTGTAGAAGCTTATCTGAGGGATTTAAAATTTATGACACTGACCAAAAAAGTTTTTATTATAATATGTATATATTTAAAAACGAAGATATTTTTAAATAGCTACCGTAGTTAATAATTAAACTTAAATATATACAAGGCAAATATAGTGAAGTTTCTGCTAAAACGCGAAAAAAATACCCTGCACAAATAAAAAGTTTCCAAGAAGGAGATTGATTTTGATCGATCAGTTTGTATGAACAATTTGTTTGGAGATTGCAGAGCTGCTTTAGACAATAATCCATGCCAAATTTCGTAGACATCTGGTTAAAAAAAAAAAGGTTTTCCATACAATGGTTTATTTTGAGTGTGCAGTTTGTAGAGCATATGCTATAGTGGTCCGATATCAGCGGTTCCGACAAAACCCCAAGATGCTGTCTTGGGGAGAAAAGGATGTGTTCAAAATTTAAAAATGATATCTCTAAAATGAGAGAGTAGTGCGTGTATATACGGAGGTACAGACGGACATGCCTAAATCGACTCAGCTCGTTGTTGTTGTTTTAGCGTCAGAAAACAATTCTGAAGTAATTTCGAGGAATGGTACCTAGCTTCCAGCCCGGGTCCGTTCCGGTTCCTTACACGCAGTAAAGCTCGTCATGCCCATTGCTTATACATATACATACATATATATTTTATAGGGTCTCCGACGTTTCCTTCTGAGTGTTACAAACTTACTTTATATGTTACACTAACTTTGCTGATAGTAGTTATATTTTAGTCGGAATCTTATCAATAAGGTTTCCAGAACAATCGCAACTGAATTTACAATTTGATGTGTTTATTGTGGTAGCAGCTTATGAAAAATCCGTATAGCAACTATTATAATTATTGTGCAAAGGCGATAATATTTAAATCAATATATCATTTGACTAACGAAAGACTTTTTCTGGATGATCAGTCCATCTAAACTTTAACTCTTGTTGCTCTTCAATTAACAATAACCGTTACCAGCGTGTCTTTAGCCAATTTTTTTTCTATCACATACACAAGCTGTAGAACACATAAACAACTGTTATAAAGACATCACTGGAACGAAGCTCTACAATGCAAAAGTAGATTCTATAAAAGTCAAAAGAAAGTATAAACTAATAACACTTAAAGTCCATGATAAAAATGAACGGATATTGACAAGTGTACATAAATACGTACACACAAAAATAAAAAGGATCTTTATGACTGCAACATGCAAATCGAGTGAACAACTCATCAAAGTCATAATGTCGATAGTGAAGGTATTTTTCGTGAAATGATTTCGTAAGCGGTTTATATATGATTATACGCTTACATACATACATATATACAATTGTACTTATGTATATCATTTTCATGCCGCCGAAAGCCTTTACAAACATTTTATATATACATACATTCATATAGACAAAGGCAAAGGCGGAGTCATGTAGGCGGCAAGAAGGCAAGTTATAAGTATATTGCCCGACGAGTCATTGATAGCATACACTTTTAGTGGGCAAAACGAAAACAATATAGTCACGCAGAAACACTCGTCCCGCCACCCCACCGCCATAGTCAATGCACTTAACTCAGCAGTATATTTAAGCTCAGACAGGAGATAAGCTGCCGAAACAAAATATGTGCATGCAAATGAAGCGCTACAAAAATAGTGAAAAAAAACACAGCAAGTAAGGAAAGTAGTGAATAGTTCATACGTTTGAATGCAGCTATAAAAGAATCTTGGTTCCTAAAACAATATAGTAGATATACAAAATGTACAAATATTTATGTATATTACATTTGTACATTGTCCAAAGAACTGACTTAGAAAGCTGTCGTTCGTGCGTATGTTATGCATATATTCAAGTAAATATTGCAAAGGCGTAACCACAAATTTGCTCATGGCTAGTAAGGCTAACAAGTGAATAGCAACACCTGGCCACTTTCAACCCCAGCCAAACCTAAAGATTATATGTAACTATGAAACTTGGCTGCCAAACCATGCGAAACGTTTCCGACCAACTGACCAACTAAGTAAAACAACATGATGTCAAGCTAAATACCATACCACCTTAGCTGCATTTACATTCCAAAAGGAGGGGTACCTCACCCTGAATTTTGTTTGCCAAGTCTATGCGCGACATTTATATACACTTTACATTAAAATGAAGGCAAAGGTCATACCAAACCATCTAAATTAACCAATGTTCACTAGTTAAACAACAATATGGTTTAATAGAAAACTGTATGGCATTGTATTTGGGAAATTTATACGCTTAATAATCCAATTGCACGAATACTTACACATCAGTTTTCGTTTTATATTGTAGAAAAGCAATTTCTACTACTTCAGAAGATAACAAATTTTCAGAGATTATTATTTATTGATGATTTGTAGTTAAGGCTTTTTATGGTCTTTCTTTGTTTTTTCTTCGATTAACAATTTAAAATGTGAAAGGTTTTTTCGCATTCATCATTTGATTACAAGCAGAAACTTTTACAAGAAGATTTCAAGCAACACTTTTCACTAAACATACACAAGTCCCCACGTCAATAACTGTTTTCTATTTTAAATATGTTAATAATATTATTTCTGTTTTTAAGCCCAAAAGTTATTATTTTTCACAAAAAATTTTCAGCTTTTCGATCCGTGAACACCACTAAAATTCTTTCGTTTCAACGTCTGTTCTTTATCTGACATTCGCAGCCTTTTTATTTTTCTATTGTCACAGATTCGTTAAAATTAACGAATATGACGATGACTCGTTCAAATTTAACATGGTTGTATTTTGACAAATATTTAAATTGTCTATAAAAAAAATAAATAATTCGCAATTATTAATATATGTAAATGTTATAAAAAGCTACTTAATACATATATTGTCATCACTAGCCCGATTAACTGCAAAGAGACTTACACACAGCACAAAATATGATACTTATATTGTAAGATTTTATTCACTTCTGCCCACCGTGCAAGCGTTGATCAGCCGTTTGGCCGAATATGCTTCGCCTTTTGCTGCGGTAGTATTTGTATGTATGGAATGGTATATATTTTCATTGAAGAAATGCCGTGTTTTTGTTTACATTCAATAAGATGACTGAATTGATAAATTTGTTTAAAAAATTAAGTGAGTTTTTTGATCGTAATTTACTTTGGGAAAATATTGAAGAGGCCTACGAGGCTGATGCTGAACAAGAGCAAGACAAGAATAAATCGAATGAGGAAGTGCAACCTTTAACAACTTCTCAACAAACTAAATCCAGCGTATCTGAATTGCCATTTGTGCAACGTGCAATCAATGATCCTCAGTTGTTATCGACCCTACTAGAGCTGTGCTCTGCCATACGTATTTTGCGCAGTGAATCAAGTGCCAGCTATGATAATACCTATGATTGCTGGGATGAGGTGATTAAAGTGTCGCCGCGTGACTCCTACCTCAGCTTCGTGTTTGCTTTAGCGGGTCTACCAACATTGGATGCTGCCTGTACCGCATATACAAAGCTTGCACTTGCCGCCGTAAATACATATTTTCTTTCGCTAACTATTCCCGGTGCAAAAGGCTTTCATATCTTTGAGCCCGAGGTAATAGCACATTGTCTTCAGGTATTCGGTTTGATAGAACGCATCCAGCATCCTGACGTTCTATGTCGAATGTCGAAACAGCAACTTATCGAAATATGGGTACGATTTTCTACATTCTGCGATGACTTTAAATTGTTGCTAAGGTATGTCCATTTCAATGACCACAAAGCCACACGAGACACCTTGTTGAAGAAACTAGTGAACATATTGTACATGAATCATGAGCGCGGTTATGCAAATATGTGTAAGTGAAATTTCGGCTTATTATCAACAAATCGTAATAATTTCGAGTTTTATTTATAACCAAAATAGCACAACATTTCTATATAGCTAAAATACAAAAAATTGTTATTGATATTTATAGGAGTAACTAAATCGATATAGCGACAAAGTGTTTAGCCAATAGCACGTTTCATAAACAAATTTTTTATAGGCGAAATAGTGTCTGTGAGTTGTAAACCTAAGCTGCGCAGCAAAACCACCGGCGTGAATGTGGTCGAGTAGAGTGTGTGCAAACCGTGCACACCCACCATTATCGGCACGTTCTTAGACAAGCTTCGTTGTTCGTATTTAATAAGATAGTGATTGTCACTAAGTTTTGCGCCAGCGTATGCCGCTTCAGAGAGCACTTTAACAAGTTCACGCACATCACTGAACCCTAAATTCACACCTTGTCCTGCAAGTGGATGTACTCGATGTGCGGCGTCGCCAATTAAAGCCGCTCCCGTGCATACATACGATGAGGCATGTAAAAAGCCTAAAGGAAAGGATGCACGCGATTTTTCTACAACTCCATTGACGGCAGGGGGATATTGCCTCAGCATATCGGGATTACGTCCAATTAACGAATTTAATGTATTCATTGCATTTACAACAAATCCATCCTTGGGGTATTCCTTGAAGAAAGCTTCATTTAGTGCTTTGGTGAAATCTTCAGCGGACAATTCCAACAAATGTTTAGCATGTGGGATACTTGTACTCCACACCACCGAGCTAAGTGTGTCGCTTAATGGTAGTAATGCTACCGGGCCGGTAGGTAAGAAACGTTGCCAGGCCACCGTATTATCACAAGCGTCTTCTAATTGCACGGTGGCTACCACTCCACGGCGTTGATAATCCAAACTAAATACATCAATATTCATTTGTTTACGCACCAAAGAATTGGCGCCATCAGCGCCTATAAGTAGTTCACATGTTAATGTTTTGCCATCTTTAAGGTGCACTTGTGAGAATTTATCGCCAGTGTCTACTGAAAGCTGTACACCTTCAATACGCGCATTGTTGCGCACTTCCACATTCTGCGCATTCTTGTTATCTGCCAGTTGTGCATACATAGCATCCAACATCAAGTCATTTTCAATAATGCAAGCCACATCAGCGGCGAAATGTTCATCTTGAAACTTGATTAAGGCATCACTGCATGCATCCCACACTTGCATCTGTTTAACATGTTTTATTCTACGTTCTTCCATATAATCCCAAGCGCCGATCGATTGGAATAGTTCTACACTATTATTATTAATAGCGGAGACACGGTTGCCATATTGCGCTTCGACATTAAAGCCTTTGAAAGGCGGTGCGCCCTCAAGCAATAATATTCGTTTATCACTTAAAACTTTATTTTTGCCCAAAGCAACAGCGAGTGCGGTGCCAACGAGTCCACCACCACCAATTATGATGTCAAAGTGTTCTGCAGAGGATTTCTGTTTTTGTGCATGGTCATCCGCGCAGCACTTTGAACTGACGCAAAGTGCACGCACTGCATGCAGCTGCTTGAAAATCAGGCGCAAATTGCGTGCGCCTGGCTGTTTTATTAAAGCTGACATTGTTTTGATACTGCGGCTGAAATTTAAAAATATTTGAAGTTAAATTGTGAAATCTTTATTTTGATTTTCTACCTTTCCAAATTCGATTCTTTTTTGATTTGTTTGAATGCTTTGATTTCGAAATTCTATATAACAGCTGCTGTGAAACACAGGGTTGCACTTTGTGCGGGAAAAGTTTTCTTTTCATTATATCTATTATACATATACTGTTTTTTCCCCCAATTTCCTTTTTACCATTTCCGTTACATAAAATATTCGGTTTAAAGCATGCAAATTTAATAAAAATTTTCTTAACGCTTTTAAACAATTATATTTTTAGACGCTGCCAATCTACACGCTAAATGCTTCGAAATATTTGACGAAGTAGTAAACGCGCATAACGGCGAACCGGAGGATACGCTAAAGAAGCTAATGAATATGACAGTTTTCCTGCACACTTACCCGCCAAAACCAAAAAGTACAAGCGGAACTGTCATTAGCGGTGATTGCGAACATATATCTGATTGGTTTATCAAATGTATCTCGAAATATCCGCGTCTGCTTGTAAAAGTGTTGAATTTCTATATCGAATGCATGGTCACCAATCCAGTAAAGTCTTGGAAAACCGAGCAAACACAACGCGCGCTTGAATATGCCGCAAAATATGATGCTGCACTTTATACCACCTGTAATGAGTCATCAGTAGAGTTCTTGTGTGATGCCATCTATGCCGATGAGGTAATGATACGCGCACGCGCCATAGAATTAATTTCACGAATTCTACAGTTGGTGGCACATGTTAATTGGCAAATGTTTCGCCACGAAATATCAGACATACCACGCGAGGTATATCTCATTAATGAGCTCATGAAGAGTTTGCAGGATTGCAACAACACGGTTAAACTAAAAGCAGTACAAGCACTACATCTTGCGCTCACCAAAGGCTCACCCAACACTGTAAAAATACTCATCGAAGGTATACGCTATACACGTTACCTCGATCTTGGTGTCACACTGCCAGATGAACCACGTGTTCATAAGAATGAAATACGCTACGAGAAACCCTTTGCTCTGGAGCCGAAATACAGTTTCGAAGGACATGGTTTGGTTGAGTTGTCATTCTTGCATTTGCCAGAATATGTTTATGCAAATCTCTTTCAAAGTCCCCAATCATATATCAGACGTGCGGGTGTAATGTTTATGGAGCAGCTAATTAAATTAAATCCGCTGATTATTTTCAATACAAATTTTGTAACAGAAACAACGCGTCTCGTTGATGAACCCACTGCCTTGGTGCGAAAACAAACGCTAATCAGCATCGATAGCATACTTGGCTGCTATCCGAACTGTTATCCTGTCGTGTGGGTGTGGTGCAAGGTTGTTGCGCCCATGTTGCGCGATGGCGATCCAAAGAATATAGAATTAGCTATGGATGTAAGTGTGTAATATTGTGTGCATTTCTTTATATAATTAAAATTTGTTTGCTGGCAGTGTTTTCGCGCACGCGTTTTAGCAAATATGCGCGGCATCGATCAATCCAATCAAGCGGAACACTTTATGCCTTGGGTTATTATACGTACAATGCTGTCAACGCAGCCGCGGCTCTATCTGCAACAATGCTTTCATATGGCCTTACAACAACGCTTGCTAAAGTAAGTGTTTAGAATTAAAAAAAAAATGAAATACATAACCTCAACATGTATTGTGTATCAAATCTTGCAGTCCACAAATACTCAGCATAATCGAATCACATTTACTCACCTCGAATTCCACAGAAGCTTGGATCGTGCTCAACTTTGTTTCTGGAAAGTTAAAGAGTAAAGAACCCGATGCACTTATACATCTTTTTATATCACTGAAATCGGTATTACACAATCACACCTCATAACCATACATATTTAACTCTTTCTTCTCCACAGTGGAACAAAGAGCAAAATATGCTTATTGCTCTAGAAGTGCTCGCCAATTGTATACAAGACTTCTCACACACAGCACTCAATCAAGCTTTCAATCACATACTCACGCAAATACGCGAAGGTCAAATCATACCTGTACTCATTGGCAAAGCTTTTGATCTGCTCATACACATCGATAATTGCTCGCAATCTCAGGCGACCAATAGCAAAAACGTTAAATGCAATCCACTCGAGTTAACTGAAAAACCTTGGCTGCTCGAATTGCATGATTTGCTGGAATTTAGCATACTCTCGGGCATAGCAGATTTTCCCGATAATCGCGTCACATTTATGTCGCACCTTTACTCATACTCAGAAGTGAATTTGCAAACGCGCTTGCGCCCACACCACACTGTTGTCTCCTTCGTGCATAAATACATGAGCGTATGCTTGAAATTGCCGGAGTCAGAGTTGGATTTGGAAAATGAGCGGCTCTTCAATTCGATGATATTGATTGCTGGTCGTCTATCTTTACGTGATGCCGTTACGGCGAACACTACGTGTAAACTTTATGGTTCCATATTGAAAATCATTGATCGTCCGCCAATCGTGAACACAATAATCGTTTCATTAACGGATCTATGTAAGAAGCATACACAAATTGTGGAACGTATCATTGAGCACGTGCTGGCGAAGTTGTCATCACCCTTTGTCATGAATCGTGTGGAGACATTTAAATGCTTTGAGAAATTAGTCTTGCAGGATCAGTTGAAATTGCGTGGTTCCTTGTTGTTGGCGCTTATGTCTGCTATTTTAGATGAGAATAGAGAACTGGCTACGCGTGCTTGCGATTTTTTTGTAGAATATCTCAGTAAGAAGAATTCAACGCTCTTTCAAAAGTGTTTAATCGAATGTCCATTTGTCTTCAATGAATATGAGGTGTGTCCGGGCGCTTGTGGATGCTTGTGGAATGTAACATTATCAAGTTTGTATTTTTTGCTATCTTTTACAGAATTTCGACGGCTTGGACAGCTTTTCGGATACAAGCATTAAATCACCTTTGAAAGGAGAGGCAAAGCGTAAGAGTCGTCAATTGCTTTATAATCACATGATGACGTCGGTAGATGAAGTGAATTTGGTGCTTTATTTTGGGCAACTCAAACTGATTTCAGGTAAGTCGGAGTAGCAGTAGCTTTTGGAACTTTGAAAACTGCGTGCACCTAAGATTTTATAAACGGAAAAAGTAAGCATTTTATCATGTCCAAAAAAAAAATTGTTATGCTCCACATTGGTGGTCTCTTCACGTAATTTTGTTAGACTAATTATAACCGGAATAGGCTATATTAAGTTTGCCACACCTAGAGAGTAAAGTTAGATACCCTATAAAGTATATATGCATTATATATACATACATCAACAGTGTGACGAGTTGAGCCTTTGTATGGAAAACTTTTTTTGATTTGACAAGATATCTTCACGAAATTTGTGATGAATTATTGTTCTAGGCAACGTTTCAATTTTCGAACATATTGTTCAGATCGGATACAACATAAAGCTGCCATACAAACTGACCAATCGAAAGCAAGATAAAGTTATGTTTTATGCTATAAGATTTGCAACTGTGCATAGTATTATAGCTTTGATGCAGTTGAAGTTCAAGTTTTTTTCTTGCTTTATTTATTTTTTAGAAAAATCGCTACGTGACGCCTGCATGAAAAGTCCTGAAGGCATCGCATTACTCAAGGATGTGCTATTCATTTTAAAGCGCGTCTGCCAATTGACCAAGGAACAAAAGCCCAACGCTGACAACAAGGAAGGCGACGGAGAGGATAACGCAATGGATGACGCAATCGCGCAGGCAAACGAAGCAGGTGCTACGGATGAGGTAGACACGGCAAAAACTATAGGTGCCACAAGCGCTGGCAATGTGGGACGTGGACGCGGGCGAAGACGTGAAATAATAACAATGCCGGATGCGGTAAAAGTGAAAATAGGATTTTTTTTTAATAAAACCTATTAATTTAGTTTATATTTTTAGCTGAATCTACTCGAAAAGTCATTGATATTCATACCCAACATTCATCGCTGCTTCACTGCCCACACCGATGACGCATTGCAAAAAGCATTCGACGAGTTGGGCTATGCATTAGCAAAGCGCTTTCCCAATCTAGTGCATTATGCGCAGCCAGCAGAATTTTGGCGTAAATATCGTGAGAAAATAATTGCGACTTCGCCGTCGAAGCAAAAGAAAAAATCGAAGCGAAAAGGCAAAGATGCCAAAACACCCGAGAAGCCTAAAGCGAATTCAACGCAAATCGAAGCAGATCTTGTGGCGACTGAGGAAATCGATGAAAATTTAGAATGTGACTCAGCGGATGAAAGTGATTTTTGTTCGGACGATGACTTGCCGTTGGCGAGCAAGTTGTATGCCGGTGCTTCACCACAGAAACGTGTGCGTTTGAGCGATGCCGAAATACCGATGGAATATTTATTTAATCCGAATATTTGAAGATTGGCATGCTCTTCTAGCGCATGTGTTGACCCATAGAGAAGTGTTTGGCAATAATACTTGCAACTAGGATATGTTGTGTACTATATTATATAGCATGGTTTAAAGTTTTGTAGAGGAGTTCGCTACTATTATTGTATAGCTTTAGTTAAATGCATTTATTATTATTATTCTTATTTTTACTTTAATTTAAGTAACATGAAAGATTCGAATAGTTGATATATGTATATATATATTTTTTTTTATTTAATTAATAATTTTAATTTAAAAGGCTGACAAAGGAATGTACCCCAATATACTTATATATGGTATACTTAAAATATAAATGAGGTTAAGTTTCTTATACAACTTATTGTATAAGTATTATGTATATAATAACATTATTTTATATTAATAAACTAATTCTCGAATTAGTATTTATATTATTGTGAGACATGCTTACATATATGTATGTATATGGGTATGCCATTACACAAATTATATTATATATTAAATATTTATAGCTCAGTAATATATTGCGCTGATCATATTTCATATAATAAACTGTTATATTAACTAAAATAAAATTTTCAATATCAATGTATTCAAAATTATTTTTTATGTACTTCAAAAATAATTATTATTTACGAAAAAGCTCGAAGAAAGAAAAAAAATTTTTTTATTTTTTTATAAGTAATATTATAATAAACATAAAAATTATATTTTCAGTTTAAAAAACAAAACTCGAAAACCTCAAAGAAACACTTCCGCGAAAACAGTTATCTGTATATTTATAAGAAATTTAAAGCAAAACGATATTAAAAAACCGAATTCGGTTGTGGGATCAAGACCCTAAACAAAAATGGAATAATAAGGCTAGAGTTAATCGTAAAAACAAACTTTCGTATTGCCTGCAGACAATATTTTTATGATAGAAGAAGCTTAGATTTTTATTACTGGATAGATTGATGTGACGCTTGAGTATTACAATTGAAATCGACATTGTGTTGCTCCATCACAAAAACTCCTAAATATCAAATGCCGTCAATTCGCTTGTTTCGCCGAAGTTATCACTAACATATTGAAATTTTTCTCATGACGACGACGATAGATGGACATATTAAGAGTAGTAGTTCAACATGCAAACCAAAGTTAAACTTATTGTTGTAAACTTACTGACGACAGTCGAGTCTACGTAACCGTAACAGACTCTGATTTTCAATACGGTCAAGAACTGACAACTCGACAGCGTTGCTGAAAATTATTTACTAATGCAACAACAAAAACAGACTTCTAGCAAGAAGGTCTTAATAGGAATAGGAAAGGATTGCATAAATTCAACTTGATATCATGTTATCGTTCCAATAATCAATAATCAAGAATAATGAACAATTTGCATGAGATTAGTTTTTGAGAAACTCGTAACCCTTATTCGAATACTCAATTCTCGTTAGTCTCCAACCGGAAAAAATTTGTTTTGATTCCACTAACCGCAAATCCGCAGTTTCAACAATTCAGTGCAGGTCACTTTTTGCTCAAATTAACTGGCTTAGTAAGGTCAATATAGACATATAACTGCAGAAGAAATACTATAGAAAAAATATTTGAAATAGCAAATGAACTCTTTTGCGGTTCTAATGTTTTCGGATCCTGATGATTATATACATCCATACTAACTTGAACTTCTGTAAGACACAAGCTTCACGGTTGAGCCATGTAGGAGTACACTATGTTCTATCAACACCAAACGCTACACCCTATACGAGTTATTGTAGCGGTTATTCTAACCTCTATAATTTTTAATCGAAAAGTGGTTCGCGCTTAATTTCACGTGTCTCAATTTACTGAGTGCGGCACACTTCCAATTGGCTAGTATTTACCTTTTCACAACTCCTCTTTCCACACAGATTCGTGCACACACCGCGAGGTGATAGCGAGTAACCCGTTGCCGGTTTGTAATACAATACGAATTGCAAGTGGCACGCTACAATGGCGAAGGCGTGCGAAAACAAAACTAGAAATACCAGACTAATTAGATTAAATGCTATTTTTCATGTCAAGTTCTAAAAAACAGAAATTATTTGTATGCATTGCAAAGTGAATTCGTTTCAGTACGAGATGGACTTTACTTAGAGACGCGCGCGTTTAAACCACACACAGACACTGCTCAGACTAATTATTAATAAGCTCGAGTTAGTTGTTATATAAATAGCTAATAATTTCTGAAATACTCTAAATTATAATGAATAATACCGAATATTACTTCGATGTGCAACAGAAATCCTACGAATACGAGCAGAGTTACGAAAACGACTCGAAATTAAGTCCGGACACTTACGAAAGCGCTAGTGAAAATTTACTCACCGATTATGAAGTTGTGAGCAACGAGGAGGCAGATGAAGACGACACCGTTGAGGTCGCATATCGAAAGTTACGACGCGAAAAGACGGAAAGTGCGGTTTTCACCAAGAACTCTCCACGTCACGCAAGTGTCGAACGCACTCAACTCGGTAAATTGCACCTGAGTTTGAGCGCAGAAAAAATATCGTTGAAATCACAGTCGGAGAAAATCGATAAATCGAACGCGTCACTGACAAGGGAAATTGCGCAGCAAAAAGAAAGCGCAAGCGGTCGCGAGCGTTGTGGACGTGTGACGAAATCCATAAGCGCAAGTGGATTTTGTCCGCGACACAGACGCCAACAACCACAGACGCAGCAACAGTTGGAGAAGAGTAAACCGAAACAATATGCGCCGATTAATTTCACCATAGTGCCGATTAATGTGGCGGCGCAGAGGCGTATTAACGAGCGCAAACAATACGAAAATGGGCGTGATTTGCCGGAAATTGTGCTGACATCCTTCGAGCAACAACAACCAAAGCAACAAAATTTTAGAACTGGTAAAGTACCAGTGTCGCCCGGTTTCGAAGCGCCCATTACATCCAAGCGTGTTATAACGCCGAAAGGCGGCAATACAACGTATTTACAACAAAAGGAACCGCAACAACAATACCAGCAATTACAACAATATCGCAGTGTAATGTTATCAAAGGCGGCAATGGCAACCCCGCCACCATCGCCAGCACCCTCCCCAACAACATCCGCAACAGCAACGAAGTTAAAGAAAGTCACCAGATTTTCGCGTGCGCCCGAATTCTCCAACAATCACTTTGAGCTGCTGCCAGCTGCAAAGCTTACACCCACCGCCGACGCGACAGCTATTGCTCCCGCTTTGTCAGCGAAAAAGTTACCGGATGCCGAGGATACCAGCATAAGCGAGATTAATTCACAGCCTGGCAGCTCTACTTCACCGGAATCCCTAATGGATAATGTGCTAAGCGCTGCGTCATCGGTCTCCGTGCGCAGCAGCAGTCTAAGCAGCGCTGGCGGCGGCAGCGGTAGTGGCGGCAGTGAAATTCTAAAAATTCTCAATGTCACACAGAGCGAAAGCTTAACGCGTAATGTGCCACATGTTGCTGTCGCAGTCGTAGCCAAAGAACAACAGCAACAACCACAGGCACATCAACAACAAATAGGCGCACAGACAAAGGAATTGTACGATAATCGCTCATTGAACTTAAAATCGCCCGTTACGAGAGGCTTGTCGCCGTTAATGAAAATAACGGCGGTAAAACAAGCCACAACAACGGTACTCACACCCGTGCCACCAACGCCAACCGCAACAACACCGTTACAATTGTTGTCTCCGGCGCGCACTTTGACGTCCTCTCCTTCCACGGTCTTGGCTGTGGGTGGAGCGTCGTCAACGCGTTCGGGTGAGACGCGTACGCTGCAACCAACCGAACTAATCGAGGCGTCAGCAAATCGTTCAAGGTGCGTTAGACCGTATACACTTCAGTGGGTTTACGAATACGTGCGGTCAGGGTCGCAGGGAAATAGGGAAATTAGAATTATTTGTTAATATAATAGCACGAAGCGGGCGTAAATTAAATAGAAAATAAACAAAAGAGAATAGTGTTTTACTTGAAAACACTAAAAGACTTTTTAGCGGAGATACTGAGCCGAGGATGCAGATAGTTTTACTGCGCTTTAAAACGCATTATACCGTTATTTTTAGTTTTATAACAAAATTGGAAACTTTAAAGTCCCACATTTCCTTTGTTTTATACAGAAGTCCATCGCCAAGTTCCAGTATTTTGATTCGCGCTACCCTGGATGCATCGTTATTCCCCGACGATTTGAAATGCCGCATCTGCAGTGAAATATTTCGCGATCCGCGCACCTTGAATTGTCTACATTCCTTTTGTTTCCAATGTCTGGTTGATGAAAATTTCAAACAAGACTCTAGCATACCATTTTGGTCGCAACCTGGCGCCGAGGACCATGATTGGAAGGGTGAGTGGATTAAAATTTTTTGAGTTCTTTAGTTCGAATAAGCTGTTAGATGCTTGCAGGACATTTGTTTGTAAAATAAAATGAAATGCCGATGTGCGCGAAAAGTAGCTTACAACCGATGGCAGAATCATAAAAGCTATAATTTGAGTCCTCACTATATTATCTCTACTATGGCCACAGACAGAAGGCCATCTTTTCTTTCTATCGCCAGACCTCATAGTCATAATTACTATCAGTGGAGCTTTCATAGTAATTTTCGACTCTAAGAGTTGAAATTCCTCGTCACGTGCATACCCTAATGCAAACTATGATTCCATCAGTACCCCGATTTCAAATAGATCGTGTGTACATGTATCTCATACCAAGATCTTTAAATATCCAGAGCACAAGAACAGTGTAGAACTAAAGAAATATATACAAGCAAAATATATTCTGTCATCTATAGAGTCGATTTACATATATCCGATGTTATAGATTTTTAGTCAACACCAATCACCATCAAAAAACTTCAAGAACTCGCGGTTATATTATCCTACAAAGTGAAGTTATAGTTGGTTTTTCAGTACGCAAGTAGAAGCTTCGTAGTGACAGTCATCGTCCAGTGATAGACAATTTTGGTTACAGCTTCAGAGAAGATTTAAAATACATATAAATTATTTTTATTATTAATGAGCAAAGCTTTCTGCTATATCAACTTTTTTTAAATCATAAAGAAAGAATAATAATTTGTAACTTAGCTAGACTAAACATGGACGGATCATGTTTTTTTATCTCTTTCTATGCCACAAATTTTATATAAAAATTTCTATACGTTAGCATTTGCTAATACAATTTTTAAAGCTGTTAATCCTCGTGGTTGTTCCTCATTGAGTACTCGTGAATTAGCAGCTGTTTTTGTGACGTAACTTTAGCGAATATAGGAAATGACGATGTGACCATTTAAGTTTATCAAAATTATCCTTTCATCGAATTTTCTTTTTCATAAAAAGAGCCAATTTACTGTTAAAATTGTCTCATTTGTCACCACAAAAACTCACGCCATTCTTAACTTTTATTTTAGTAATTAAATTTATTTATTTTCGCGCTACACTATTTAAAGCTATTGATATATGCATGTATTTATTTATGGTATAGTAAAGTATGTATGTATACATATGTATATAAGAGTATAAATGAAGTCACTAGTATTATTATAGAGTAATAAAATTTGAAATTCTATAATTTTTTTTTTTTAATTCTCGTAAATATAATGTTAGTGCATGTTATATGCTTATCAGCAGAGTAGCTTAAGATTTTCTTAAATAATTTATTGAATTTGCAAAAGTTCCACTTTGTGGGGCAAACTTTCTTATAACAAGTGATTTTACTAAACTAACAATTGCTTTTGAATGATTTTTTGCCTCTTTAATATTATCTTAGTTATATTGCGATTTTATTTAGAATATTAGAAGAATTTATTTTCTATATAATATCTGTTAGGTATTATGTAATATAAGAGTAGCTAATACAATTGGCAAATATTGGAGTTGTTTTAACACATATCGTTTTATATAAATACGTGAGTATTTATGTATAGTTGTAAAGTCTGTAATAGCTGATTTAGCTGTCTTCGAGCCGCCGAAAATTTGGCGAAAACTGGCGAATCGAACAAACAACTGACTTACTCATGGATTTTTAAAATATGCGCTTACTACTTTGTATTCATTTTGCTGACCAATGTTAATGCCTCAACAGGAGAGCATAATGTACAGAAAAGTGGCGAATCGAAGACGGCTATTACGAGTGTGTGCTAGTGCAGTTAGATTGCAGAAAATTTTATTTATAATAATATAATTATTTATATTCGACTATGGATCTCACACCAGCAGCAGCAAAAACAACATAACCGAACATTTGGGTGTAACAAAATTGCTAGCGTTGATTTTTACACAATCCCTTTAGATTATAATATACTACATAGGTATAACACGAACAAAAGCTTTGAAAACCCGGTTTATATTACTGGACTCAAGCAAGCTGACCTTGAATTCTCTATAATTTCGAAAACTCAGGCTTAATACTTACAAAAAGCTTAAATATAATCTAGTCGCTTCGTGATAACGAATCACAGACCAATTCATTTATTCAATGATCTGTTTTGATAGACAAATTATCTGCAAAATATTTCAACTTTGCTTGGTTCATTTCTACTTTGGTTTTCACTTGATATATTAGTAAAAGCTATCAAAAAGCGCGTAAAATGATCAGATATAGCTCAAATTTTTCTTTTTGATTAAGAAAAGAGTGCAATTTGAGAGAATACAGGGTAGTTCTACTATTACTGTGTACATAAAGATGTAGATTTTTTAGAGATATATTGAAGCCTTATTGTTCATAAGGCTAAATGGTCAAAGCTCTCACTACTTTTATGTAGTCGATTTGGCGTCAACGGCTGTGTCGTTTTTAACTTAATAAAGCTCTAGGGGGAACGTAAAGGAAATAATGGAAACATTTCTTTCAAAGCTCACTGCGAAGCTTATGGTTACTCCACGATCCTATTGAATATTGAATGTTACTTGTTAAACGAACGATATTTTGCATGATTTGAGAAAGTTTATCAGCAAAATATATTTTCATCTGGCACTGAATGAAAGGTTTTTATATATATTGATACAATATACGAGTATGTACCTGATATATGCACAGTGGTCAGCAGAAAAGGAGGAAGGGATTAAATCATAATTGTGTGTCTCCTATAGTTCTATTATTGTGTAATGTTAATATTATTGGAAACCACGCCCTTAAGATCTACTTAAGGTTTCCTAGCACACCTACACAGACTCCTTACTATTATTAGGTATTTTTATAAGTATATATGTAGAGTATATAAATATTTAGTATATTAATTATTAATATATTTTATATGCATATTTTAGTATAAATATAAAGTTTCTAATGCACAGCAAAATGTTGTAATGGCGTCAGCCATTTTAATATGACTTCATTATATAAAGTTATTATTTATATATGTATATATCTCAATTAATTTCAAAGAAAGTAATATGATCATTGAACTTTTGTTGTTGTTGCCGTAATTGCAGATAGTTTACAGAGCTTATTTTTAAGCAAAGTTTTAATTTTTATAATTATTTTTTAATTTTTTATATATATATTTTTAAATTTATAAGTTTCTCATTTTAATAATTTTATTATTTAATTTAATTTCTTATTTTATTTGTATATTTCATTTTTTAAGTTTATATATTTTTAATTTAAATTTTTAAATATGATTTTTTCAACTTTTTTTTATTATTATTTTTTGTTTAAGTTTTCCTCGTGCTTAACTGGCATTCAACAAATTGTATTATTTAAGAATTCATAACAACTTGGCTGACCGAGAACAGCAACAGCGGCCGCCTCATGACGCGTCTTTAAAAAATTACCCACCCAATGTGTTGTTAAATCGATATACTTAGTTTTCGCACCGGGATTATAGTCCAGAAATCCAGCTTTCGGTATAACCTCCTCGATTTGACTGCCATCCGGCCAGTTATTGTAGCTGGCGATGTTAATGAAGCCCACGTGGTTTAGTATAGCGGTGCGCCAAGCGACGCCATAGTACTGTAAGCATGTTGAAAAGCAGCAGCGTTATTCAATTGTAATATTTTCTCTACAATCTTTTTAATTATAAAAAACATATCACACCCCACTTACCCTGCCATTGCTGCGATGCCTTTGTATATCACCGTGTCGTGGAAATTTATTACGTTCCGCAAAACCTGGTCCCACTGTGGGCACAAATAACATTTTGTATGTTAATGCGAAAGATTTCAAATATGACCAATTCTTCCAGGTGCTCGCAAATGTGGCGCCATTACTTGGTAATTTATTGTAAAAACCCTCGAAGCAAAGGCGTCGCATGATATCCACATGATTTTTGAGGCTGTGAGGTAGAAAAAAATATTTAGACTTTATTTTCGTTACTATTGCTCTAATGGTTGAATGGTTCATATCAGAGGTTTCCTACTATGCGCCAAGCTAGCCATTTCAAATTTTATATACTGTCTTTGGAAGTTAATTTATAAATTATGTGCAATTAAAAACGTTTAACGGGCTCTCCGAATATAAGTTAAAAATATTATGCATAGAAAATACGAATTTCTATATCTTTTACAAATTTAGAGAGACGGAACTTAAGGTTTAGCCGTTCATACAGTCGTACGTCAGTTGCTGCATGGTGTCTAGAAGACTTTAATGACTCAAAATTATTTCGTGATTCACTAAAAATAGTTCCTTTAGTTATCAAAGCATCTCGAAAGATTATTTCCAAACTTTTTCATATAGAGCTGGTTGCATAAACGTCTTTTGCACTCACATTTGCCTTATTCATTCTTAAAGTATTAGTTGTTGAAACTTTTGAGAGTCTCCTAAAAGAAGTCTAACACTGAGCTTTTTTCGCCGCTTTTCTTGAGGTCTACAGCTACGAGATCGCATTCAAAATTGTAAAAATAGAAGTAATTCTATCTTCCAAGAAACTGACACCGCTACTGATGGTTAGCTAGGAATTCCCTCGACATTAGTTCGAAGCCATAATAAAATCGAAATCAAAAATTCGAAGCTTCTTATTATTTTAGTACTTCTCAAATATGTAAATATATAGGTCAAACTTCGCCATTACCGAATGGATTAAGTGCATAACTGTACCGAAATTCATGGGTTCGAAACTTAACTCTGGAAAACTTTAAAGTTATTAACAAAGTGTTAATTTGTATCATGGTTAGTCAAGATCTATACGACCTCTGTACCGAAACACTATATAGTCGTTGATGGTATTTCAAAATTTACTCCTCTTAATGTTGGGTACTCAAAATGTAAAAGGAATCCCTCCCAAACTTCTAGCAGAGTTTGAAACCCTTAATTTTATTATCAATAAGTGTCGTCTCTAATGTTTTCATATTGTCCTCAAACGGCGTTTCATTTAAAAATATCGCAAACTTACCGAATATGCCCAATAAAGTAGGCATCAAAAATGCGCCTTAACGTCTCCGGATGCGTTTGACACAAAGCACGACCAGCAGGCGTTTCACTCAACTTATACGCGTTGCTTACATAAACCACTGGCACCAAGCGCTTACGCGACAACGAATAAATACGATAGAAACTCTCGGCGGTGGCGTAGCGACGCACCACCTCCAATTGCTGCTGCAAAAACTCCACGCTCTGATTGCCCGCCACACTAATCTCAAAGGTAATGCTCAAATTATAGTTGGGCGCCAGTTCCAACAGCTGTCGATAGAGTTCCACCTCGCCCGCTTTGCCGCTACAGCTCAGTATAAGCACGCCAATCCCGCAATTGTGTATGTTATCGAAATGCTTTTGCAGCAAACTGGTTGTGGGCTTATACAATCCCAAGGCCGGATAGAATGCGGTGTTAAGTATACGCACTGGTTTTACTGTCGTCGTCGTAGTTATTGGCGATGTTATACCTGAGATTGGTGATGATGATGATGATAATAGGACGGCGTCGGAAACATCGTTCAGCAGCTCTTTGGCGGCGCCACGCAGCTGTAACTGTGGCGCGACCAGCTGCGGCTTCTTCGTCTTGTACCAGGCGACAGGTGCGCTGTAGAAAATATGCACACCCGTCGTGACGGCATCCAGCTTGGTGTGTTCCTCATCCGCATTAATGGCATTACGCTGCTGCTCCTGGCGCAGCTGCAACACACGTTCCTGTGCTATGCGCGCCTTCACCTTGTGCTCGTCATACTTTTCGGGCACAATAACGCCATTTTGGCGCGGCGATTTCAGTGGTGGCTGCTCTAAGCGGCCGTCTTGGCTGCCGACTAAACCGACACCACCGCCGTCGCCACCGCCATAGATGCGCGCTATGAAGCGTTCGTCGAGCACGCGTTCAGTGGAGCTCACATTTGGCGAGATGTTCAGTATGACCACGGTAATCACAATCAGCGCTATGACCATGAGCAGAAAGAGTATTTTCAACTTTCGTCGATTTTTGACATATTTTTTCAGTAGCATTTTGTAGCTGCGCTTGCAATTGATACAGCATTTTACAAACGTTTAAATAAGTGGCGACAACAGCGCTGGCCGTCCCGCGCTCGGACTGTGTGAATGACTGACAAAGACTGCGTGTCGATTGTGCCGTTGCCGACGTCCTTGCGGAGGACTATAAAATCACTAGCTTCCCACTTTGAGTACGTTGTGTATATGTGTATAAGTGTGTGTGTCCCCAAGTGCTTTTGTGTACTTACTTAACTGTGAAAGTATGTGTGAAGCACTCGAGCGTTTTATTTTTAATGCACAGCGTTCTGTTTTGCCTTTCAACTGTTTTTTACCTTTTTTGTACACATAATTATGCTTGCTTGCTTCCTCTTCTTTGTGTTCTACTTCTATTTTCGTATTTTAATGATTGCCTTTTTTTACTGCATTCGTTTTTAGCGCAAACACCCCTGCTTGGCTCAATATCTATATCTCTGTTTGTATGTATGTGTGCTTATGTGAATGTGTTGGTGTGTACCATGTGCTTCCTGTTTACGCTTTTGCTATGAGTGAATACTTCCATTCCACTGCCGGTGTACCATTGTTTACATTCAGTGCGCATGCGCGCTTCCAGTCATGAAAATAAACCATATAGAGAGCAGAAGAGGAAGAGAAAATAATCACTTAACTGTTATAATATAAAATTGTAAGCGGTAACTATTATAAAATGCTGAACAATAAGTTCCGGGTCTAAAATAGAATTTTCAGCCAAAAAATTTAATATCATTGTTTGCTCAACCCTTTTAACCGTACAATAATGTTTTGTTCATGAGACCCTTAAATGATATTTTGGTTGGCCAGAGCTTTTATAATTGCATACAGGAGATAGAGGTCAGATCAGCTCAGTTTATAGTTTTCCATTATAAAATACATTTCCTCAGGCCATAACCCACTTCCTCAGCCATAAAAATATCTTATTGGTGAAACTAATCAAGAAAGAACGTATATCAAAGATCCACATATCGGTTTTCTGAACTTCTTTTGTGTGAATAAAATCTTCTTCTTCATTGTCACTGTAATGGTCTAAAGTCTAGAGAACCTAAGAAGTAAGAGGTAACCTAATAAAAGAGTCTTTACTTTTTTGTCATTCAAGCCGGGGTTTTTTTTTTTTTCCTTCTCGATATTCCAGTACTAACCCTTGGGTCTCCAGGAGTTGAGAACCGAATCTTCTTCAAGAATTGTCGAGACCTTTTTTTTAATAACAAACTTTTCTATGGCTTTTAATTTACGAGTATTCCTTATTGAGAATAGTCATCTGATATTATATATGCTGGCAGAGGCTCTATATAGCAATCTCTAATTGTCTTTGCTGAGTAAAACTACTTGCGGCTTAGACAGTCTAAAATGTAAAAAATTGGCTCTGAACCTAAATTCTTAGTCGGTCACTGCTTTATACAACCAGTCAAGCGAAGGAAGCCGTCAAGACCTCCGTCACATTATTCAAAAAGGACACTCTTGCATTTAACAGTTTTACATATTAAATGTAGGTTAGTTCTCATCTTCAAAGTAAAGCTTTCTTAGTCTTTGGTACGAATTTTTACTACTTCAGAGTCCAACGGTTCAGTTTGTGATAGGACTACTCATAAGAAATTTTACATTTATTGTCTTAGTTACTAATGCATATATTACTTTCTTAAAGCCACCAACAAGTCCAACTGTAGCCCGCAATCATCTTCACCGGAGATGTCTGTGCGTAGCGGTTCCACCTCACCTTCGCGACAACGGCAGTCGTCATTCAGCTTTAGGCGTAAAAAATCGCTGGAACGGATCTTGCTGAAAGTAAGGGTGGGTAAAGCAACAATAGAAATAAATTGAAAAAAATTAATAAAATATCAACTCCAACAGTCAAAATCGGACGGCAAGAGCTCGGAAAGCTCCACATCGCTGCGTTTGAGCGCTGCGCCTGAAGAGCGTCTACGCTACATCAGTTGCAAGATTTGCAAATATGCAACCGTAATACCGTTAGGTGGCATACGTCAGTTACCACAGAATTTTCTGCTCGTACGCAAGATCGAGACCATACAACAGGAGCTGGGCGATGAAGTGATAACAAAGGTTTGGTGCAGTCTCTGCTTCGACGAAACCAATGTGAGTGGAAGAGTGTGAATTAAAAGGTATTTTCAGTTTTAGCAAAGTCTACTTTCAGGCGACCTACCACTGTGTTAGCTGTACGCTGAATCTATGCTCGCTCTGCCGAGATTCACATGAACGACAACGCAACACAGCCAACCATAGTATACGGAATATAATGGAGTTGAGGCGGGCGCGTAAAAAGCAGCAAATACTTCTGGATGATAAAACGAAATTTACGCTAAAATGTAGCATGCATCCGGGTTTCGAGATGAAGGCGTTCTGCAACAGCTGTTTGCAGGTAAGTGTAAGGCGCTTAAATGCGCCAAAACTTTCACTTAGCTCTTTCTATTTCTGAAGATCGCTTGCGCCGATTGCCTGGTGCTCCTACACAAAGGCCACAAACATGAGCCGATAACAAAAGCCTTTGTAAATTACTCTAAATTACTGCATGACGCTGTGGATCATACGCGTCCGCTCTGCAGCTATGCCGAGCATTCGATCGATCACATGAGTGACATATCCAAGCATATAAATAAGAAATGTGATGACATACAAGCGCAGATAGAGGTGTTCATGCGGCAATATTTCGAAGCGATCGAAGTGCATCGGAAGACTTTGTTACAACAGGTGCATCGTGCACGCGAGACCAAAGTAGAAATGATACTCGAGCAGCAGTTGGATTTAGGTGAGCGCTGAGTGTTATTTCTTTTCTTACTATGTAAGTGCTTAAATGGATTTTTTTTTGTTATAGAAAAACGCAATAACGAGTCCAAGGAGGCTTTGCTCTTCGCTCAGGAACTCACCGAATGCGGTTCCCATGTTGAAGTGCTTTCATTTCTTAATATCTTACTTAAGCGGTTCGAATACTGTCAGCAATTCAAAATGCCTACAGAACCAAAGGTAAGGAATGTCACATATAGAACCAGGTTTGCAAAGAGATCCGATCACTGGAGCTGGTGGGAATTCGCTTGTCTTCTTGTAACTAACTATTCGTTAGCTGAATTACGTCAGCTCAGCTATTGAGCTATTGTTATTTTAGCAGCAGAAAATAGTCCACAAATGATTTTAAAAAACCTGCCGAGTTGATAGTTCTTGGTCCGATATAAAACAGGGTCCGTTCGGTTAACGAAAATCCGGTCGTGGTCGGAATGGACGTGAGCTCAACTCTAACAAACTCTTGGACTTTCTTAAATATATTTTTTAATATATGAAGGCTTACTACGTCATCAGATAATACCATTACGTTCTAACCTTCTCTTTTCCCATTACAGTTTACGGATACTCTACACTTTCTACCACATATCCGCGCACCTCCGATGAAAGCCCAAAACGACATACCACTCTTCGGCATCATTACCATGCAAACTGTTGAGCCTTCATTGTGCACGCTGCAGTGGGAGGGTGAGCAAACAATATTTCGAGAATATGTACTTTATAATCCTGTTGCGTCTTTTAGGCTTCACACAATTACGTCTACATAAACGTGTAGAACTTCTGCTGCAGTCACGTGACACTGATGGTGCGGGCTTATGCCATGGTGGCTTACAAATACAGTCTTTACTCAAGTACAAAGAAACGAGTTCAAAATTTTTACCAGTAGAGGTTAGAGAAAGTACAGTGTGATTTGTTTGATTCCTTTTCGTTTTTTTTTCACAGATCGCCGACAATCGCGACGGCACTTATGGCATCGGCTTTACACCCGACGCTGAAGGGGCGCTAGTGCTGATAATAAATATTCATGATAAGCCCATCAAGGTAATATTTTTTTTATTGATTTTCAAAATCGGAATTTGAGTCATTGAAAAAGTCTTCGAACTGTAGCGCAACCAACTAAACTTATTCAAGTAGTTCTTCTAATTTAAGTCTTTCGTTTTCAGGGCAGTCCCTTCACATTCCTCGCACGCAATGTACGCCCACACAGTGGCATCTATCATTGCTGCACCTTCTGCTCCAGTAAAGGTAATAAGATGGTGAAATGTTCCTGTGAAGGGCGCATGCCTGGTTACAATGGCTGTGGGCATGGTCATGTCGGTCACCCAGGTACTCGTCATTGGTCGTGTTGTGGTAATATTTTAGAGAGTTCCGAATGTAATATGGCAAATAAGTTGATGAATTCATAAATCTATTTTAATTTATAAGCAAATACCATAAATATTTAAAAGCGACAATGAAATAAATTCAAGAAAAGGATCTTGAAAAAAGTGAGTACTTAATTTTTTAATCATTTTAGGCCCTTTAGCCTTTAGTGGGTATACATATATTCCTTGGTATTATCTTTCTGCTTAAGCGATCTATGTAAAAAGTGTCTAAAAACCAAGGGATTAAAAATAATTAAGTATTACTAACCAAAAACTTTAATAAAGACCGACAGCTCCATGATTAAAATTCATATTAGTAAATTATTTTTCTCAGCCTCATCTCTTCGATATTACTAAGCCCAATTCGTACCGATACAAATTATTAATTTTTCACAGCAATCGCCCCTTGATTATCCCTCACAGAACTCAAGAACGACCCAGAACTCAAGGAAAAAGCTTCATTCATTGAAAAATTCAGGTTATAATTATGACGCCCCCACTAAAAGTATTCAAAATTTTACTCTGAGACATTATCCTATTCAAATCTAATGTACTTGCAAGTATACCACAATAATATGTATATCAATGGACATTCCAGAGATTTTTTGAAAAGTTTATATTTAGTATAATATAGAGGTATATTTGTGTCTGAAGTTAAAAAATATCTATATTGCGTTTGTGGTGTATTGTAATTCTCAGATTAAAATACTTACAGAACCATATAGTCATGAACAAAGGCGTCTTATCTTTGCTACCCAGTAATGAGTGAAAAACATCGCTGACTCGTCTTCGGAATGCCATCTACTGTTAACCTATAACGATTGATTATTTTCTTGTCTTTATCGAAATTTCCTATGATAGAGAGAGCGCAATCTTGTCTCAAATTTCTCTCGACGATTTTACTCCCAATGAATACGTGAGTATATTACCAATACTCTAGAGGCCCATTCACATACAACTTTCCTCGCTTTCCGTGACAGTTCATACACAAACGACGAAGCGCAAAAAATAACGGGTATGCCATAATTCAATTATATAAGTTTGTGTCGATACGGAGCGTGCTTCCTCTTACGAAAGAACTGTTTTTTATCCATAATATCAAAGAAACTGTTTTTTGTTTTTCTGAGTTTTCTGTTTACATTTTAATGATTTTGTGTGATATGCAATCTACTCGTATTCAGTTATCACTCGTTGGTTGAAATTTTTGAAAAATTTATTTTAGAATCATAAGTTTAGAACAATACAAACGCTTTGCTTTCAGTGCTTCTCTTTTATAAAAATGAAAACTGTTGCTTGACAAAGCGTAAGCGATCGAAAACTTTTAATGTGAACGTACTCATACGAAAGCATATTTGTACATACATCGAACTTCGCTGTCAAAACAAATGTCTCACGCAAAGCGATGCAAAAGTTCTATGTGAATTGACCATAAGAGTTGGATAATGAAAGAGAGAATATCAAAGGTATCTAAAAGATGAGCATGTTTCCAAATGCAACTGAGGTCTTTGTAATAAATATTCTCAATATCACTCACTATCCAAAATAAGTTTACCCACAAAACTACGCATATGTATGTATGTAACTATTGTTTATATTCAAAACATTAAAGGTAGGTACTGCGGTTAGTAGAGTACAAGCAACGGAAGTCAACGGTTGTGTGTAACGCGAAAGACTGTGTATTCACATGCCTACCTACGAAAAATGTTTACGAACCACAAGAAAGCACTGCTGAATTATTACATGTATTGATTTTTAACTAGAAACTCATAAATTATAACAAATAAAGTGCATAAAAATATTCAATTTATGTGTGGGTGATTATGTAAACGTCAAGTAAGTGAAGCAAAACAAAGAAAAAGTGTAGAAAAACACTTTGAGTGAAAACAATGGAAAATACAATTGTGTGAAAAAACGCTAAATTCTCAGCCAGACATAAGTATATGTGTACACAGTTGTGTTTGAAGTGACAGCGATGGTATTTTTCTAATGTGACAGTGACAGTCAGTAATTTCAGTTCTAGAAAATAGCAATACCGTAAAAACCCTAATTAAGTTTAACTTGAAACGTGTTGATAATACTGTTTCTATTTTAATTCAATAGATTTTCTTTTGCAGAAAGCGTTTGCAATATTGGTGATTGGTTTCTTTTAGTGCTGTACCTATTCTTTATATGTCTCTCAATTAATTAATTATATCACAGTGTTTAAGAAGCCGTTTTTTTTTAGAGATTTGCACTTTATTTGCTATGAATGAAATATTTTGGATCACGAGGTAATTTAGTCTCGTTTGTCAATATCCAACTGTGTTTGGTTTTGTTCCGTTTCATTCTTGTCTATTCCTTTCTTCCAAACTTTCATAAAGGATTTCCTGAACTGCACCGAATATGAAAAAAATACAAACAAACTAAAGTGTTATATATTAAAATATTAGAAATTCCAGCAAGTTTTTAGAACTGCGGTTATGTAAACAAATTTCCGTATCCACAACTCACTTCCGTTTAGATAGACGAGTGTAACATTTGTATTGTTGTATGATAGGTATGAAAAGAGCGCAAACCTCGTTAGAAGCCATTATACATACCTTAGTTCTTCGTTTTCAAAATATTCATTTAAAAATTACATGATTACATGGTCACATGTTTGCCATAATTCGTCTGGTTTTTGATTATTGCCCGACGGTTAGCATCCGACATCTTGGTTTGTATCGCTTATATTGCTAATATTTAATTTTTTGTCAATGAAGCCGCATCAGATATGATATCTGTGATTAGCTAGGATCTTATGTTTGATGTGGACGCGAGGCGAGTACACGCAGAGGAGAGAGCATTATATAGCCGATCAGACAGAATGGTATTTACATAGATGAGCCATTTGTCAGCTTTCTTCGCAATTCCTCCGGATATACCCTGTTTTTTGCCACGATGTTTGTAACAGCCAAAAGCAAACGTCAGAGTCCCTATATACAATATATTATATTATATATATATTTATTAATATATCAGTGTGACGAGCTGATTCGATTTAGCCATGTCCGCCTGTCCATCTGTATATACCACAATTATACACTTAGTTTTTGAGATTACGATCTGATATTCCCTGAACTCGTCTATTCCTCAACAACAAACTGATCATTGTCGAAACCGCTATATCGGACAACTATAGCATATAGCGGTCATACATATTGACCGGACAAACTCAAATGTCTTGACGAAATCTGACATGGATTATTATCTAACGCATCGCTATAATCTCCAAACATATTGTTTAGATGGGATCACTATAGCATATGTATAGCCGTCTTTCCAACCGATCAAAATGAAGATAAAAATCGTTTTATACCTCTATATGCTATAAAAATGCACCTTTGAAGGGTGTTATAGCTTCGGTGCAGCCGCAGTTAACTTTTTTCTCATCGTTTTATACTTTCACTAAAAAAATGTTGATAGGTATACCGATCCAGCGTACGTTTAACGTTAATCCAATGAGTTGCAAAAGAATTGACGCATATCTGCACTTAATCTCCATGAGAGCATCAGGGATTGTTGAAATTCAATTAAAAAAGCGCAATCAAAGTGAAAGCCTGTTGGTGATTACAGATCTGTCACGTTTCAATTAAGTTAAAAGCGTAGAGGCCTACAACAACCACACAAGTAATATTATATGTATTAAGTTGCATTTAATATTGTATTTGCAAGCAATCGGCGAGCACCACGCCATGCCTCAAAGGCACTAACAACAATTGGCAACGTGTTTAACATGTGTAATGCTTAAAACTAATCCGTAATCTCAATTAAACTTCGAAAAAAACTAAAAAAAAAATACAGTAACAATTTAGACACGTTCGTTGCTTGTACAGGAATTCAACAGCTTTGGTGACGCTGTTGCTTTTTGCTTCTTTTTCACCGTAGGCATAAAGCACGTCCGGGCATTTACCGTTTAAAATTAACCATATATTGTTTTGCACTTTACTCGTCATATTTCCTTTGCTTTCTGCTTTTATTTTTTTGTTTTTGTTTTGATTTATAATCTAAAAGGTCTCGGCAAAATAGCAATCAACCATCAATCAAAGCCATGAAGAAACTCTCACTTACGCCTGCGCGCGCATTTCGCTTACGCTCGATTCATTTGGAGGTATGCAATATGCTGCTAAGCGCTTACCTAATGGCCATTTGCGTGCGTTGCGTACCGAAGAGGTGACGCGAATTTCACTACGATGTTGTTAAGCGAAGCTTCGAATACGAATTTACCAATGGCATTGGAAAGAAGAATAAGACATAAAAAGTAGTAATATTCGAAAAATACATTTTTGAAACTTTGGATTTGATCTAAAGAAGAGTATACGTTCTGAAGCACATTTCCTGGGGACTTTTGATCACATATCAGTCCTTGAAGATCACTTCCGCATAGATACTTTATAACCGTATAAGTATCTGACTTCGCACAGTAGGCCTTCTCTCCCACTGTTATCATCAGCGGGAAAAAGTAACTTTTTGTCTACGTTCGCCTGCTATAGTAAACCGTCTGCAGTTTTATGTCGGGGTAACTACCATTATCTGCATTTGTTAAAGATTTTCCGATGAGATTCAGTTCAAAATAGCGTGCAAATCGTTTCTTCGTTCTCTCGAACAATTCAGGAACCGGTTCGCCGCATTAACTATCATTCGAACTTCTAAACAATGTAGACATTAGGTCGGACTTTAAGAGGATTATGAAGTATCACTCTTGTTCGTCGAGAAAGAATTTTAATCCTCAATTACAGACCTCTGCTATTTCCTTCCTGTCGTCCTTCAAACACTTGTTCCCTATCTGCCTCAAGATACTTTTGTCACTATTCACCGTAAGATACTCAGGAACCGCATAGAAATATTATAAACCTGCGTTACCTTCTTTTAGTAAATTATATCGAGGAAGGCCTGGTGTGTCAAAAGATGGATACAGTCTTATAGTATTCCGAAAATAAAGCATCGTTACATAGCTTTAAGTGAATCAATTGTGATAATAAAAAGAAATTAAGTAGCATAGCATAAATAATGTGTACAACAACGACGCAACAATATACAACAGTCGTTCCGAGCTTCCTCAGGACCATTTCGATTATAGGTAAGAAGTCAAGCGTACATAATATTGAACTTCCGCAAACCATTAATTTTTTGCTTTGTAGTTATATTTTCACTAGTCAACTGCCATGCCAAGTCATTGCTCAACTATGATCAAATGCAATCACTTACGAGGGTTCCAACAACGACAACCCTAGCGCCGACCACAGCCCCCCCACCAACAATGCGCGATATAGTAATTGGACCCTGTCGTTGGGTGATCGGACGCAAATGCCCCGATAAAGATGTGCGCTTCTACTTGTACACTCGGCGCAATCCACAGCAGCCTCAGTACTTAAACATCGACGAAACGTCCGATAAGTCCAATTTGACCAACTCGAACTTTAATCCGCGTTATCAGACAAAGATTATCATACACGGCTATAATGCGGATATGTATATGAACTCCATGCAGCGCATGAAATATGGTGAGTGGTGCACATTACTGATAGCGTCTCAATATCTTAGTACACTGGAATGCATTCCCGGCTTTGTCTCTTTGTCTCTGTTCTGTATTTTTTCAGAATACTTAATGCGCGGTGAGTACAACATTATCTTTGTGGATTGGGCTGTGCTGGCGCCAGGTCCATGTTATGTCAACGTCGTGCATAATACCAAACATGTAGGTGCTTGTGTAGCTCAACTTGTGGAACGTATTTTGGAGACAGGCACCACCGATATGCATGTCATCGGATTCTCGTTGGGCGCACAGCTAACGAATTATGTTGCGCGAAATTTGGGCTCATTTCAGTTGCCGAGAATAACAGGTTGGTACACAAATGAGGAATACTTTGAAGCTGAAGACCTTCTACAACCCATCTTGAATATCTTAAACTCTTCATTTCTCGTATGCTCATGATTACAACACGCTTTTGAACAATGGCTGTCAAACTTTCAGGTCTCGACCCGGCCATGCCGTTTTTCATCACCTCCGGCATCAATGATAAATTGGATCCCACTGACGCTGCTTTCGTCGATGTAATACATACGAATGCCTTTGTACAGGGTAAAATAGAGCGTTGTGGACATGCGGACTTCTACATGAATGGCGGTATATTACAGCCCGGTTGCAATAGCGAAAACACAAGTGAGTACGCCGGTAAATTATTTTCAGACCTTTAAAATTACATACATATTTATTTTTTCACGCAGATCCATTTGCCTGCAGTCATCAGCGCGCTGTCGAATATTTTGCGGAATCGATACGTTCACGTAAAGGTTTCTGGGGTTGGCCTTGCAGCTCGTACATCTCATATTTGCTCAATATGTGTCCGCCCACAAATTATCTAATCGAAGCGGGCGAAGATATAAAGCTTAGCACAAAGGGTATGTTTCTAGCGGAGACTAATGATACAGCGCCGTACGCTTTAGGCAAATGGACCGATTTACCGACATTGGGTAGACAAAAGCCTACCATTAATAATGGGCGAATCACGATAACGTTGCCACAACCGTCGGCCTTCCGTGATCCCTTGTTGCAGCAAGTGGATCAATGGAATAAATTAGACTCACATTTCAATGGCATTGAACCACAACCGACGCCATATTCACAAGATCCCAACGGCGAAAATTGGACTTACTTCAGTGGCACTGGCACCGGTGACATAACCGATACTTCGCAGGCCGGTAATGATTCAGTTGGCTCGGTGGAAGAGCAAAGTTCAGAGGATGTACAGAAAGTGCATGAAACCCAAATTGAATGGCTGGAGTATCGCCGAAATCTGACCAATGGCCATATAGAAAATAGTATTTTTAAAGTGCCTCATATTGAAGGTGCAGAGTTGAATAGCAGAAAGCTAAGCAGACAGCCGCGCGGAAATGAAATAAACTGATAAGTTATAAAAGTGATTAAATGTTTAAAAATATAAACTCTTTGAAAACAGAATTGGATTTATGTGAAAGTTTAACTGTTTGGACTCGAACCTATTATGTGTTTTGAGACGGGTTTGGCCCAGATTTTTCGAAGGCTTACTGTTTTGTTGGAGTAATTCTAATTGAACAACGTGATAAAAGCTCAGACACTGTGTGGATTTGTTAAGTTTGAATCACAGGTTGAAGAATTTTTAGATGTGGCCAAGTTTGGACTGAACGAACGCGTCTGATTGGTGGCGCGATTTTTCATACAATTCCCACAACAGCCGGTTCTACGTTTCCGGAATTCAACCAGATTTCATCCGGTCAAAGGCTGTTATTTCCGCGATTGGTAATAAGCCGACCATTTTTTACTTATTATGCCAACTCTTAAAACTTAACAGCAATTAAAAAAACTGAGACACTTTCGTTTTTGGAGTACTTTCTTTATTGGTGTCCCTTTTCTTAATTTTAAACGAATTTTTATTCAGTAAATCAATTAAATATGAAATTACGTTTTTGTGTGAAATTTCTTTGAATAATGTCCAATAAGTATAAACAAATAGTTAAATACGCTCCTGCAATACCGGTAAAATTCTTAATACGTATACATACAGATATATTGTGAAATATTAAGCTTCCAATGACTTTGCTTCTTTTTAAAGAATAATAAAACAGGAGGCTTCTTTTTTTGTTTTTAGTAAATAATCAGTATATATATAATTAATGTTTAGATAAAACTATGCATAACGGCATGATGCACGCTAGAGAAACTTACACACATGCATGTGTATATATGTTTGTTAAAAGTAAGCGCTTTACTTTTTTATTGCGGCGGCAACGCTTCGCTTAGACCTTGCGGTTGCTTTTGGAGCTACAGTGGGTGTGGAAGCAGCAGGAGCATCGCCTGTTTGAGTTTTGGTCGTAGCTTCGGAAGGCTCAGTTTTAATTGCCTTTTGTGTCGCCGCTTTTTCTCCATCGTCCATTGAATCGACAGCAGTTACTTCGTTTTCACCCTCAGTAGCTGGCTTCAAATCTTCATTATCGACCAACATGCCATCAGTGGGCGGTTCCGGTGATGGTGTGCCCCGCACGGCATCCGGATCATCATCCTCGATTTCATGCTCGGTCGATTTATTTGTACTCTCTAACACGGCTATATGATAGAGCGCCTTCTCTTCATCGGAAATGGGCACGGGCGCATTCGAGAGCGGATCACGACCGTTCAACGATTTTGGGAATGCAATAACATCACGCATTGAACGCGCACGGCATATAATAGCAATTAGACGATCAAGTCCCAGTGCGATGCCACCATGTGGCGGACAACCAGACTCCAATGCGGTTAACAGATGATGCAAATGCTCATGTGGTATCTTAAGGATTTGTTCTAGTACGAAATGTTGCATATCACGATCGTGTATACGTATTGAACCGCCACCGATTTCCTGTCCATTCAATACTAAATCATAAGCTTGCGAACGCACCTTTTCCAATTGGTCATCTTTGGCATTCATGAATACTTCCATATCGTCCGGGTGTGGTGCAGTGAACGGATGATGTACACTCTCCAATTGATTCGTTTTTGGATTATGCTCAAACATTGGAAAATCGATTACCCAAAGGAATTTGTTCTCTTTACGCTCACGCTTAACTTTTTCTGTATTGAAATTATGATAGTCGAGGCGTATGCGACCCAATAGTGTTTGCTGTCAAGAGAGAGAGAGAGGAAATACAGTGAATCAAAACTAGTGACCAGTTTATACACAATTTCAATACAAAACTTACAGTTTCACGCTTTTCACCAATACCGAGGAACAGCAGGTCATTTTCTTCTAAAACGAATTTCTCAATCAATTCGTGCGCTACATCATCGCCCAATAATTTGTTTAAACGCTCGAGCACGTCCTTATATTGCTGTTGGCAAAGAGAGAGTGATGCTGATTTTGGTTAACGGAGAGTCGATTGTCAGGTGACTACTTACCAAAAATTTGCGTACAAATAATGTACCGTTAAATTCCTTGCTGATGCTCTCGTAATGTTTGCGTGCAGTGGAGTTCCAAATGGCCTCAGTACCGCGTATAACAATGGCATAAGCACCCAAATTAGAAAATTTCTCAGCGAACTTCTCATTTTTCTCAATTATATCTGTTACATTTTGCAACTAGAATTTTGTGTATAGAAAAAATTTATATTTAAAGCAAATTTTGTAGACTTTTAGCTATAACTGCACATTATGACACTCACTGTGAAGCCGAAACGTATATCGGGTTTGTCGGTGCCATACTTCTCCATGGCTTCCTCATATGTGATTCGTCGGAAGGGCGTCGTAATGCCGGGAAATTGTTTCGGCCACGAATAACGCAACAATTCTTCAATTAATTTCATAACATCGTCACGTGTTGTGAACGACAACTCAATATCGAGCTGTGTGAACTCAGGCTGGCGATCCGGACGCGTGGCCTCGTCACGATAGCAGCGTGCCACTTGGAAGTAACGATCAATTGCGCCAGCCATCAACATTTGCTTGAACTGTTGTGGACTTTGTACGAGTGAATAGAAGTGTCCCGGTTTGCGGGTAGGCACAACGAACTCTTGTGCGCCGCCTGGAGTACGACGGAAGAGTGTGGGTGTCTCCACTTCGACGAAACCCAAAAAGTTAATTAGATATTCACGCATGCGCATTATGACGGCGGAACGCATGCGAAGATTATGCTGCATATCGGTGAATCTGCATGAAAAAAAAAAAAAAAAATTATATATAAAACATGAAACGTGAAATCATATGTGTAATGCACCTCAAATCAATGTAGCGATGTGTCAAGCGTAAACGCTCACCAGCGCGATTATAGCGTCGCACTTCAAATGGCAAATTCTTCTTAGCCGTATTGAGCACTTCTACACTTTCCGCCTCGACCTCAATCTGTCCGGTTTTCATATTTGAATTTATAGTGGCGGCTGGTCGTGGTATAACCGTGCCCTCGACACGTATAATGGACTCCAGCGAGAAGCCATCTGGATTTTTCTCTAAACCTTTAGCTTTGGTTGTGATCAGCACTTGTGTTTGTCCGTAACCATCGCGAAGTATGAAGAATTTGCCCATACGTTGAAACTCCAACCAGCCACAAATTGTCACCTTTTCGTTGACATTATCTATGGTCAATTCACCGCATGTATGCGTACGTCCAGCAAATTTATTCAAATCGGCTATTTTCGTCTTTTCACCAGCACCACCTCGACTGCCGGCACCGTTATCAGCGGCATTGCCATTATTAGTTGCTTCTTCAGCTTCTAAATCATCGATTGACATCTTTTGCACTTTCTCTTTGTTTTTAATGGGACCTTCATAGGGATCATCGGGATTCAAGATCTTTACATTATCCACCAATATCTCTACTTCGCCAGTGTCGTATTTCTAAAATGAAATTTAAAAATTAATACATTTTCAAAAACTAGTCTAAAACTTGTTGCACATACCAAATTTATATTGGCACGCGGTCGCCCTAAAACTTTGCCTGTAACTAACACTACGGTGCCTTCAGGCGCACTGACGCAAGTTTCTTGCAGCTGTTATTAAAAAAAGTTAACAAAAAAGTATAAATTATTATTTAAAAAATTTATAGTTTAATATTGCCCACCGTTTGGTCCTCAACTATGATTTGCGTCTGTCCGTAGCCATCTTTCAACTGTAAAAATTTTACTGTTTTGGATTGTGGTATCCACCCGACTAGCGTAACATTTTTGCCGATATCTTCACGTCGCAAATCATTGCATGTAAACTCACGATTTTCAAAATACTTTAATATATTTTCATTCTCTGCAGTTAAAAAGATATATTTAGTACACATACGCGTATAAATTAATAGTTCTCACTCACTAGCTATCTTGTATTCAGTGCTGGTGATACCACAGTTATTCTGCTTTGCCATTGTGCTGTAAGTACGCTTATTGCCCATACTTTTAACACCCGTAGGAAATTCAATATTTACAATTTCTTGAACTTCCACTTCGATTTCTCCGGTCGGCATAGTTTGATTGCAGGAATTTTGTGGGCGTCGGTGTACAACGCCAGTTATGGTTAACGTAGTATTTTCCGGCATATTCTGCATGCGACGTGCTATGCGTGGATACTATGGACGATAAAAATAAAATTTTCATATAAAATATAAACCATTATTTCAATATTTTTTTTTTGCGCAAGTGTACCTTATCTTCCAAAATAACCAATTGTGATGCGCCACCATTTCGATCACGTAATTCTACAAATCGTGCAACACGCTTTTTAATAAGCCGTCCCGTTAACTCGACCAACATGCCCATATGGCTGGCGCGCAGTTCACCGCATGTCATGCGCGCTGGTGGTGGCGGTGGCGGGTTCATATTAAAATTGTTCGCCATTGCGCTCATCAATTGCATGAGATCGTTAGGTACTTGTCCTATGGAGAAAAAATAAATTCATTCAGCACAATTGAAATAATTACATCATAATCATACTCACTATTAAAGGGATTGATATCGTTGGAGCCGCAATAGTTGTTATAACCGTTATTAAAACCACCATTTCCACCATAACCACCACCTCCGTAACCGCCGCCATTATTTCCATAACCACCGCCACCCCCTCCATAACCGCCCCCATAGCCACCGCCACCATATCGGCCACCGGCACTCCCAGTACCAACACGATTGCGACCGCTCATTGACTGCAGTTAAATAGAATGTCCGGTTTTCAATATTGAAATTCGAGTACTACTACCCTTAAATCGAATTAGGTACTTACGTGATTTACCGGTACTGCTGTTACTGCCGCTTCAGAGTTTTTTATTAGCGCAGTCTGCTTTGCTGCTATTGTCTCGACTGTTGCAAGCCTGTTCAAGTAACTGATTTGTTGACTACGCCACAAACTCCTGGAAATTAAGAGCATTGTTCTTACATAAACGAAATTTATAACAAAATAATTAAAATATATTCAGTAATACGTTCCCCAATCACATGGGAAGTAACTAAATATCAGTCAGCGATTAAAATGTATCCCCCTCGTAAGCGCTGCACAACGAAAAAGTGATGCAAAAGGGAAATCAAAAATTTAGCAGAACAATACAAACGCTGACGTCGGCGTCGACGTACCTTTCTTGGAATTTTAACACTATTTTAGCGCAAGTTTTTCTACTTTTTATAATCACTGATCGTTTATAATGTTTGTAACTTCACTAATGTATGAATTTATTACTAAATTGCACAATAAAAGCAACTACTATCAGCAAATAGTAGATAAATTAAGGGCACAAGAGCGAATACCGAAAAATCGCACAGACAGACTAAACGACGAAGCACGAAACGAAACAGAAGCGCAGTGAATGACGCAGTGTTCCCAATTTTCAACAATTTTTCTCCCTAAAACTCCTACAATAACTCCGTAATTCCCCTAAAAAGTAATTTTTATTAAAATAAGTAATAAACTATTATTATATATGTTATATATTCAATTAAGTAATATTTACAAATACAAATAATCAAATATTATTGAATTAATACTTAATTTAAAATTATATATATAAAATAAAAATCATTTAGCAACATTTTGTACTACTATATATTTATTTGATCTAATATTCCAAATATCACAATCATACATAAAAGAAAAATAATAGATTCATGTCGTATTATCAAAGCGTATAGGCGTCCTTACTACGCCTCGATGTGAACTTAATCTGTAACCTATTTTTCATATTTCAGTTCAAATATACACAAGGTAAAGAAAATACCCCAAAAAATATAAAACACCTAATAAATACCAATCGCATCTTTTAACGCCTAAATTTAGGGGGAAAACTCAAAATTAGTAACACTGGAACGACGTTTTCCTAAACAGTGCTGCTAATTTCCAGTTAATTCTTAATAATTAACCCCTTCAAACCCGCCATATTAGTGCTGATTATGATGGTTAACTAATCCCCTAAATTATGAGGATTATAATTTCGAAAACTTAATTGTTAAAGCGTATGTGTGATAATTTGGTGTTATTCTTTATGAGAATATTCATATTTCTAAAGGTTATACTGGTACTTTCGTATCAATTATGGAATCAGACTTAGTATTATAGTTGAGACAAATTAATAATCTATTACGATTACTTATTGAACTTTGCCATAATCAATCAAACAAAATAACCAAAAAAGTGTGGTATATATACTATATCTAAATGGATGTTTATTTTAAGGGATTTGGTTTTCGTTTCATTACTATATTCTGATTTGTTTACTTATATGGTTTAATTAAGCCGCTTTGACTGATTCGCTTAAAATTTGTGTCAAATAGTAATCATTAGGAAATGTCATCACTAGTACTGAAAATAGTTTTTGGCATCACTAACCACTGTCAAAAATGTATTCGGTTATTGAAAATATACGTTGTTTCCTGTTTTCATAATTGTCTTAAATTAGTTGAAATCCTAGTTGCACATATGCACATACATAATACTATACATTACTCATTAATTATATCGCCGCTTTACTAAATGTTACAGAAGATATTAGAAGTGGGTTTGAAAATCGTCTATAAATATAATGGGATGTGAATTCAGACACGTTTGCAGTGGTCTCATAAAACAGCCGTTACGAAAAGCGAGAGAATTGCTACAAAAAGAAACAAACTATTTTCATTATACATATATATGTACGTGTATATACTTTATATGCATATTTATCACTCTTCAGTTTTATATTTTCTTTTAATGTGTTTTCTTTTATATTTATTTACAAAACTTAATTCAACACTATTACATATGTGTGTACTTTAGTTTAAAGCATGCAGTTTAACTTAACAATCAAAAATTTCTTTAAATGCAAAACAATTCATTTTATGTCTAAAAGTCTATCAAGTAACGCTAAATGTGCTTCAAAGTCATTGCCATTATCAATTTTCTTACGTTCTTTGTAAAGTGGCAAAAATATAACAGCTTAAATTAACATGTTTTATTTTTTTATAAAAATAGCAAATAATAATAACAATTTGCCGACAAATATTTTAGCTTTTCGCCTATTAGAGCAAAGTCTGTCTTTCACATGTGCCACCGCTCTCACAAGGTTTACTCGCATTGCATTCTAAGTACTCGTTTCTATAAGCTTTCCACTATTGTATAAAACGTATTAAATTATAATATTTAGCCTTCAGTATAAACGGTGCTATTCAACGCATCGTGATAGTGTGTCACAACGTAGTCGTGGTAGTACATCATTATACATAACGGTTGTCCCAATATTATCGATGCCCAAACAATGATGTTGCCCATACGTGGGCCCATTTTACGTTCAATGGATTTTGATATCGCCGATAGGGGTATTTGGCCCATCATACCTAGGAAAGCCCATATTTTGTGAGTTTGCAATGGTATGGATACCTGAAGCAGATGAAATAAACAAATAAATAGATATGTACATTAAATAAAAAACAAAAAATCTGATAGAATATTTTCATACCAAGTATTCATGGAAGAAGGCGCTTATTAGGAAAACGATAGTAGACGCTTGAGCGGATGAATATCCCATCTTCACAACTGGTACATACAAATGTCTCACACACCATCTAAACGATATATATAATACAAGAACTTTAAAATTATATATGTAAACATCAATATATTTTTGGAGTTACCTGTGCACTGGCATGTTCCATGTGCGCCAGAATGTATCAATATTGTTTGCATTCCACCAATCGCAATAGAAATTGCGGTCAGCGAAATGTAATAATTCCCCAACAGCATTCAAAAATGAATGGAAGAGCAAATAGAAGAAACACAACCAAACTAGGTGATTAGGTAACTGTAAATAAAAACTTTTTAATTTAGCCTTATAAGTATTTAAACCTTTCGAGCTTACCGCCAACTTAAGAAGCCTTTCAGTGGCCAATCCAACTTCCATGTTGGAGAAGGGTATAAGTGAATTGCGTACCGATGGTATAATCCATTGTTGAAATAGAGCCATAATAACATTGAAACCGAATAGCACTTCAAGTAGACGCTTCAATAGGAAACGCTTGCGTACACGTGTAGTTCTGGGGAAGTTTAGCTCATAACACAATGTAGGTGCAAGTAGAAAGTAGAATAAGTCCTTATAGCAGAGATTGTCTGGATACTGGACCAGTTTTGGTATATCCTCATCGATTTCATCACCCAAGTAACCATTTTCTGTAAAATTAAAGTGGAGAAGGGTTTAGTGGCTTCCAAAGCGGTTTACGTATACAAATGGTAGGGACTTACGCAGTTCCGCTACTGTTATACTTGGTCGCCTCTCACGAGGATTGTACTGCTTAAGGTAGTAGGTCTGCCGACACCACATATTCGTCTGAACGTAACTCCATAGCTTTAGAAATAATAAGGAATAAATAAAGCATACAGAGGAAGCGCCAACTAGGAATAAGATATATTTTTAGTGATTAATGTTTAAAAGTTTTACAATCTGTTTATTACTTAAACTGAATGCTTCACCCTTTAGGTGAATTATGATCACCGGCAAGAAAACGACTAATATTATATTGGTTACTTGTACGAACATTCCAAAAGTTTCTGAGAGGATTTCCTGCAAAAAATACGGTAAAATTTAGGTTTTATTTTGTAATATTATATATTTACATTATTACTACTATTGTAAATACTAGTGAAATTCATTTTTATTTATTTAAAATATTCCGCGAAGTTTTAAAATCCATTTCCTGTAAACTGTTTTGTAGAGATGAGTTTATAATTGGAATGTAGTCGATCATTGTTTGAAAATCATTCAACATAATATATCTTTTAACGCAACTTAGATAACTATTTTTGCTGTGTGGTGATACCATATAAATGTTGTAAAGAAAAAAATATACCTACATATAAATTAAAATAAACATTGCAAAATTAATAGAGAAATGAGAAAAATATTTCCCGCACGGAGTTCACACTCTAATATTAACAGCTGTCAGTTATCGCAGCTACCTCAAACGCAGCCAAGTTCATATGCGGTCGCATACAAAGGCGAATATGCGTGCGAAGTAAAATCGCAGAGCAACGGTTTTCATTTCACATTTTATCGCGCGTTTCGCACACTTCTGATCATTCGTTTGCGACTCGTTTCTGATTGTGTGATTTGCAAAATTCGTCACTCATATATTTTCTAATTGTGTGTAACTAAGTGAAATCATCTAAAAGGATTTATATAAACTAAAAAGTTTAATAAGTATACTAATTGTTTTGTACAGTGTATTCAGTAAATAAAGAAAGAGATATGGAAATTAATGAGACGAATTTGCAACAGTTAGGCGGGTATTTGCAGCAAACGCTCAGCCCTGATCCCAATGTGCGGCGACCAGGTGCTCATATTTTTAATATAGTAAAATAGAAATGAAAATATTTATTGCGCTTTTTCGGTTACAGCGGAAAAATTATTGGAATCCATTGAAGTGCAGCGTAATTATGCCGTACTATTGTTGAATCTCATCGACAAGCAAGATGTGGATATGACAATACGTATTGCCGGCGCCATTGCATTTAAGAACTACGTAAAACGTAATTGGGCAGCGCATGAAGTAAGTGCTGCAACAGAAAATACGTTACGCCTTTCATATTAAAAATAAATTTATTCCTTAATTTATTACAGGATACAGATGGCCCCGACAAAATACATCAAGACGATCGGAATACGATTAAAACACTCATTGTTACGCTTATGTTACGCTCACCTACGGCATTGCAGAAACAACTTAGTGATGCTGTAAGCATAATTGGCAAACATGATTTTCCTAAGAAATGGCCACAGCTTATCGATGAGATGGTGGACAAATTTGCTACTGGCGATTTTAATGTGATTAACGGTGTTTTACAAACAGCGCATTCACTATTTAAACGGTATCGTTATGAGTTCAAATCACAAAGTTTATGGGAAGAAATCAAATTGGTTTTAGACCGCATGGCCAAACCGTTGACTGATTTATTGCTTGCCACAATGCAGTTGGCAAAGGTGCATGAGAATAATACTGCAGCGCTGAAAGTTATTTATGGTTCTTTGGTGTTGGTTTGTAAAGTATTTTTCTCACTGAACTCTCAAGATTTACCAGAGTTCTTTGAGGATAATATGCCAACGTGGATGAAATCATTCCATGAGTTGCTCACAGTCGATATACCGTGTCTGCATACGGGTGATGATGAGGATGCGGGTGTTTTAGAACACTTGCGTTCACAAATATGTGAGAATATTGGTTTATACGCACAGAAATACGATGAAGAGTTCGGCTCGTATATGGAGACCTTCGTGACAGCCGTTTGGGAATTGCTTGTGAAAACCGGCAATCAAACCAAATATGATGCGGTAGATATTTAGAATAATACATACTTCAAATTGCTAATTAAAAAATATTAAAATTTAATTTTAGCTCGTTTCGAATGCATTGCAATTTTTATCGATTGTCGCTGAGCGCAATCACTATCGCAAAATATTTGAGAACCCCGAAATACTCGCTAATATTTGTGAGAAAGTGGTCATACCCAATTTGGACTTCCGTCAATCGGACGAAGAGTTATTTGAGGATAGCCCCGAAGAGTATATACGCCGTGATATAGAAGGTTCTGATATCGATACACGTCGTCGTGCAGCTTGTGACCTCGTCAAGACTTTAAGTCAGAATTTTGAGGCGAAAATATTTGCCATCTTCGGCCAATATTTAGAAATACTCTTAGCTAAATATAAAGAGAATCCATCAGCGAATTGGCGCGCCAAGGACACAGCCATTTATTTAGTCACCTCGTTGGCATCACGTGGCGGCACACAGAAACATGGCATAACACATATTTCCGAATTAGTGCCGCTACCACAATTTTGTGCGCAACATATTGTGCCCGAGCTGGAGCGCCTAAATAGTAAGTATAAAAGTAGTAATTTTAAAAGTGAAAATTAGCCTAATACATGTTCTAATTTTATTACAGTTAATGAGTTGCCCGTTTTAAAATCTGCCGCCATTAAATTTATCATGGTATTCCGTAGTATTTTGGGTCCACAAACTCTACTTGCTTGCATTCCACACTTGATACGTCATCTGCCGGCAGAGAGCGTTGTTGTGCACAGTTATGCGGCCTGCGCAATCGAAAAAGTACTGGTGATGCGCGACAGCAATCAGCAACCGTTAATTACGGCACAACATTTAGCGCCATTTACAAATGATTTGCTCACCGGTCTCTTCGGCACATTGTCGCTACCCGGTTCCAATGAAAATGAATATGTGATGAAAGGTTTGTAAGCGCATATATAATTTGTATGTAATCTAAGTAAATCGTTAATTTGTTTTGCAGCCATTATGCGCAGTTTTTCCACGCTGCAGGAGGCCACTATGCCATACATGGCCGTTGCGCTGCCGCGTCTAACGGAAATTCTTACTTTGGTTGCGAAGAATCCATCGCGTCCACATTTCAATCATTATCTCTTCGAGACGCTCTCTTTGGCAGTGAAGTGAGTGAGATTGGATTTTATTTGTATTTGCATTATATATATATATATATGTTTTCTTGTTCTTTTCCAGAATTGTTTGCAAAACGGAGCCCGCTGCCGTTAGCTCCTTTGAGGAGGCACTATTTCCCGTCTTTCAGGGCATATTACAGCAGGACATTTTGGAATTTATGCCTTATGTTTTCCAAATGCTTTCTTTGTTATTGGAAATACGCGAGGGTAGTGGTTCCATACCCGAACCGTACTGGGCGCTCTTCCCTTGTTTGTTGGTGCCTGCACTGTGGGATCGCCCAGGCAACGTTACGCCACTTATACGTCTAATAACAGCATTTATCAAGCAAGGCTCTGCACAAATTGTAGCCTTGGGCAAATTGGTAATATTTTACAGCAAAATTAACATTTTAAACCCAAAACCATTTAACACCCTTGTTTTTTTTACAGAATGCCGTTTTGGGTATATTCCAGAAAATGATTGCCTCCAAATCGAATGATCACGAGGGTTTCTATCTCATGCAGAATTTACTCGCCTACTATCCCACCGAACAGCTACAGCCCAATATGCGTCAGATATTCGCCTTGCTCTTCCAGCGTTTATCACTCTCGAAGACTACCAAATATCTGCGCGGCATTATAGTTTTCCTCTGCTACTACACCGCCAAAATGAGCGCAATCGCTTTGGTGGAACTAATCGATCAAATACAAGCGAATATGTTCGGCATGGTTATCGATCGTGTCTTCATACCGGACATGGCGAAGGTCTCATCGGAGATGGATCGTAAGATTGTTGCCGTGGGTATTGCTAAAATACTTACAGAATGCCCGGCAATGTTGGCGCCACCCTACGTGCAACGCTGGTCCCCATTGCTGCAGGCATTAGTTGAACTCTTCGAACTGCCACCCGATCAAACTACTTTGGATGGCGATCATTTCGTCGAGGTCGATGATGCGCCCGGCTACCAAGCGGCCTTCTCACAACTAAGCTATGCACAGCCGAAATCACAAGATTTTCTCGCTGACCTAACGGATGGCCGCAAATATTTGGCCGAGTCATTGGCCAAGCTGGCGCAAACACGGCCGGGCGAAGTGCCCACCCTGGTAGCCGCCATCGGCGAAAATCACAAGCAGGCTTTGCAAAAGTACTGCGATCAGGCTGGTGTGCGCATAGTTTAAAGGCGTAAATTGTTAACCATTTTAATAATAACCACCATTTAAATATATAAATAAATCGTAATAAAGTTAAGCTATAGATGGCACTAAATTAGCCAGTTAAAAATTATTAACTTTTTTGTACACACAAACGAACACACACGCGCATTTGTCTTTGGCGTGCAAAACGCAGACATGTATGCATTTATTGTTGTAATTCTTTGTTGTAAGTGCTAAATATTATCACATTTATTGTCATAATTTGTTCGTTTCTTCAAATATAATTACTGCGTTAATTTTTTAAATTTAATTTAAATCAAAATTAATACAACAATCAATGTTGGCAACTTGTTTCTCAATCTCCTCGTGCGTACCCGAGTACTATCCGGTTACGCCGTTACTCGCTTTTCCAAGTTTTATTATGTTTTTTTTTTTCAATATTTGATTTTTCATAAATCAGTGCAATAAACTTCAGTTTTCTCACTTGTTTTTAACCAAATTTCTAGAAACATATACTAATAAATTTTCAAAATATTATAAAAAATTGTCAGATAATCATAAACATTTGCAAAAAATCATTGTAAATTTTCGTCAAATCATAAACGCTTTCAAAAACCATAAACATATTCGCAAAATTATAAAACATTTTCAAAAAATCATAATACATTTTTGGAAATATAAAAATTTTCACCCAAAAACATAACAAAAGCAAAATTTTAAATATAATCAAAAACCGAAAACCAAAAAATCGCAATTGAAGTAATTTCAACAAATACCAACCCTCAATGCAAGTCTAAGAATAGCCGAAATCTTCAGTTAATCATAATTTTTCAACAAGCAATGCATAAATTTTGGATACAAATTCTATACAAGTCAAGAAATATTTTCAATCGCCAATTATCGTGCATGCAAGGTGGCAAAGGTAAGTGACAACCTAACTCTTAATGTATTTATTGTAGAGTAAGGCGGCAATGAAGCAGAAAATAAACGACAACAAATTTTATACTGTTATTTGTTGCTATAAAATATATTTTTCTAGTGGGCTTATTAGTGTCATAAAACTTATTTATATGAGAATGTTTAAAGAAATATATGAGATGGTTTTTTGTTGGTGAAATAAACTATCGTGTAGCTATCGCCGCTATCGCACCACTATAGCATATACAAACTGAAGTATCAAAATCAAGTACTTGTATGGAAAACTTTTTCATTTGAGAAGGTTATATATTCACGAAATTTGGCATAGATTATTTTCCAAGACAACGCTACAGTCCCGAGCATATGGTTGGGATCGGACACACTATAGCATACAGCGGCCATACAAAGTGTTCGAACAAAACCGAGATAAATATCGTTTTATACCCTTTTATGCTATAAGAAATGCACCTGTGAAGGTTATTGCTACTTCGGTACAGCCAAACGTTTTTTCTTGTTATTGCTATACTTGGACATTATTGAAGTGATCGGCTCTGCAAGCTTCTGTAACTAAGTTCCTTTAAAATATCTGATAATAAATTACTTCTACATGAGCGACTGACCTCCCTATTTTTATTTCTTATCCCGTTTATGATATGTTAGTACACTAAAGACAGGTTATGAGTTGATGCCGGATGGCTTATTAATCTCTTGTGAAACAAAGCACACATTCCCAAAATATTTCTAGAGAATGCTGCTGAATATATAACAGAGTGCCGGCGGAAACGGATATAGCGTACAGGTTGAACATTTCGTAGTGTTGCCATTAAGTATTTAATTTATATTTTTTATGGACTGACAAAACATTGAAAAGATACGTGTATATATTTCACAGCCGTCGGCCTATGTTGAATAATAAAATCGAATTTGCCAAAAAAAATCGAATTTTTTTAAAACGATACGATCTTTTAAGCCTGTCTGCTATAATCTCTGATAGTCTTTGATTAAAGATCACATTGCAACACATTGCTTATATGTTAACGCATTGATTTTTACTTATTACTTAACATAGTCTGCGCTTAGCGGCTCGCATATGTATGTGTATATGTACAAATTATTCTAAGCATGCTGCGTAAGTGCAGCTTATCTCATATTACTTTGGCTGTTCTATTCTTATATAGATAAGGATTCAAAGAAAATTGCTTACTCACCATGGCTAGACCCTTTTCCACCATTAGACATATTGAGATGTGCACAAAAGAATCTGAAAATAAATATATTTTTTTTTTTTACAAAGCGAATATGTACAATAGTTATGCAAGAGTTATCAAATTTATTACAATTTCAAATTATTATACATTCTTAGCTGTTTGTGATCGATGCTAACATTGCTATTGTGGTAAAATAAATGTACTTAAAAAAAAAAAAAAAAGAAGCTTTTTGTCTCATTTAAATGATCCTTAAAATATTTAAAGATTTTTTTAAATCATTTATTTTTTCTTATGACTTAGTATTTCAATTTTATTTGTACCATATGTATTTACTATGTACATTCGCAGAACTAGCTTTAGCGCTTCTAAACAGTTGTCTCATATAACCAATATTGCCTTATTTCGCTGTATGAGCTGACATCTTGGAAATTAATATTTACTGCCTCATGGCTTTCAAAATTCTAGCGATTTGTTGGAAAATTGACTGAAATTATTCTTCTTTCTAAAAATTAAACATTCTACCACTACTTTTGTGTCACACTGTAATTAATGCATTGCTTCTTTAGTTATTCTTTTGTACTTGATACTTACATAGAATCAATAAAAGCGAAGCGTGTCCTTCTTGTCCCTGGGTCTTGCCACTCATGAAGTAATACCAATCCAAAGGATTTATTCTGATGCCATATCTGTAAGATTAAATGAGAAAAACGCTAATTTAGAATTTATAATCTCGTTGAATATTACCACTTCATAAACTTATATACATGAATCTATCAAAAAAATAATTTTTTTTTTAAATAATTTTATCGATCGAATTTATTTCTTGACTATTCTTCATTTAACTTTTCTTCTAATCCATTATGTGTATACTTACTTGAGCAGGTTTTCTAAGCACAATCGAAATCCCCCAATTGTTAAAAGCAGGAAACCCCAATTAACGAGCCCGGTGAAATTACTAAATCCCGAACTCCATGAAAACAACGAATCACGCGGGCGGTGGCAACTGAAAAGAATTGTATTGTATTGTTTTAATGAAAACAGAAAGCACAATATTATAAATATTTTGAAAAAAGTCGGTAAGCTTCGACTTTTTTAATTAAAATTCGATAACTGTAAGAATTCTACTTTAAATTAACCAACTCTTTCCAATTTCGAAAAAAAACAAACGAACCGTAAAAGCTCAAAAGCTTTAGATAAACTTTCACTCAAAGTTTACATAGCCTTTTGCAATTTCGAAGCTTCTATAATCATATAAGCACATTCAAAGCTCATATGTTTGTACTTTCAAAACTCTCAACTACAAACTTATTTCAATTAAACTTTAATTATGTAAAATTTTGGTAGCTGTTAAAATATTTGTCAGTTTTAGTGGCTAGAAATAAATGCCATTATAAAGTGTTCACTAAAAAGCTTTGAGTGGTTCTAGATTTGCCTTACACCTAATTAATAATCTTTTTTTCCAAACCATATATATTTATCGTACAGACTATATTTTTTATGCGCCAACTACTTACGGTTTGTCTGGCTGTTCTTTACGCTGTTTCTCCTCTTTACTTTGAATCTCCTCGGCACGTGTAACGCTCTGCGTCCGCCGATATCTCTGCTTCTTTTCACCATTTCCATTTCCATTGCCATTGTCGTCTTTATCCAAAACTTTTCGATATTTATTCAGATCTATAGGTATGCCATTTTGGTCTAACAATGCCGAACTGGATCGTCGTTTCCGCAATTCACTGAGATTGTGTTCGGTGGCGGAGGCAGAACGACGCAGCTTTTTAATGATGCCCATACCGCCATTTTGCTCACACTGCGGCATGTTTTGGCTATTGTGGGGGAGTGGGTGGTGAACAGTTGAAGTATTTTTTCAGTCTGAAAATAATGAAAAGGGAGACAAAATTTTTATTTCCCAGAAAATGTAAGACCAGTAATTGATTTTTCAGACATTGGAGACTATTTTTGGTTAGATTACAGACTATATAATGGTGTCAAATTTGACCCGGACTGGTAAAAAAACTACATTTTCACGTATTTTAATGCAAATCTTTATTATGACCTTCAAAATAGGCTCCTAGATTGTTGGGACAGTTTCGACGTCATATTCATAAGCGCACGTCCCGTCACCAGTAATGATGGGTTTTTTTGGTTTGTTTAATGAAATTTTTTTTTTTATTTATCCACAATTCTACCATAAAAAATAATTCTAATATTCTGATAAACGCGCAAAATAATGAGGAATGATTTAAAGCGTTTTAGCTGAACTTTTACTCCACTTTTTACACTTTCAGAGCTTTTGGGTATTGGTTACTGGAAGCACCAACAATTCAGTTTAGGCTTAACAACTCTGCTAGTATGTGAATCGTGAATAAAACCAGAATTATAACGATATATCTAACTATTTTTGTTAGGTAAATATATAAACAGTTGGAGTTATTTTTCAGAAATATTTCTGCAAAATTGCAGTTGTTTTTTTTATGAACGCCTTCTGGAATGTCACATTTTAATTAGATTTGAGTTCTGCTATTTTTAAATGCTCAGAGGCAGATTAGCGATAAAATAATTATCGGTTTACTTACACCAAAAACAAAATTGTAAACGCTGAGTATTTGTAGTAAAATTGTATAAAAAACAAAACACATAAACAAATAATTGCATTCTAAATATAAATTATAAATTAACGATACAATTTCTATTGATTGATAATGCAAGTGAAATTCGAAATTATATTGATTTTAATAATTTTTTCCAAACATTTTTCTCCTTTGCATATGCATTAATTACATTGACGAATCGACTACTTATAGATATTCATGCGATATAACGGTAAACATGTAAAATTGAAAACGATGAAACAAAATTTTTTTTTATTTCGATTAACCACAAATTATTGCCAAATAATAGAGGAAACAATACCTCACACTAAAATATCTTATTATATCAATGTTGTGGCTTTTTCTTGGATTTCATTTAACCACAATTTGTTGTGCCAGTTTAATTTCATATTGCAAATCACTTGAAAACTTTGCTGTTTTTGAATGGGATTCTCCTATGACGTCATCAATAAGCGATACTCTGTATTGTTTGAGAGTTTTTTGCGGTAACGCTTCGCCTTTTTCTTCTTCTTGTGGACTCTGCACCACTCTGCCAAAGTGTGTAAGCCACTTTTAAGTATAGCTTTCAAATTTATTCAAGAATCGGTCGTCTATATTATGTTATTTGTTCACACTACACTTTTTTTTCGGATTTCGTTGTAACCTACGTTCTTGGCACAAGATTCCAAGTTTTCGACCAATGTAGAAACTTGTTTTCTATTAGAGGGAAACCTCCAATCGTATTTTTTATAGCACAACGCTTCTCATAAACCCAACAGCCATTTTGAGACGACTTACAACAAATGGCAATTATGAATGGCGATCAAAAATTTAGTAAGCAATTCAGGCGCCAATTATGTTATTTACTTAGGCATTAATTTATAATGAACTTAGAGCGTAAGAAAAACCCCAAACAATTTCTGCTTTTGAACCACGATTCCATTGCATACATATTTACATTAGTAACTACATATTATAATTTTTAATATGTTATCAACGGAATCCCTATATGTAGTTGCAAGTCATTTTCTGATTTAACGTGAAGTTGCATGCGTCATCAGGCGGGGGTATACCGGACGCTTTGCCTTTGTGACTTTAAAAACTGTACGAGTATATGTTTTGGCATATGAAAATATTTCTGTGTATACCGAACTTAAATACCTATATTTATATTTATATACGATATATATTGTACATAGCATATGTCCATATATTATAATATATATAATTGCATACAAGTATATCATTTGTTTTTGTTATTCATTCATACAAGTGCCAGTTGATGAGGCTTTAAAGGTCAGTGCACTTGGATTTATGTTTAAAAAGAAATTCTCGTGTTTTTTCTGTAGCTTAACATTTTTAATCAATGTTTACATTTTTGTGATAAATATAAGTAAGTGTGTATTTATTTATCATTTATTTGTTTGACCACAATGCGTTACACGTTTGAAGTGGCAGTGTGGTGTCGTCGCACGTACGTAAGTATGCACTTATCCATACACGATTTTTATACAAATAAGTACAATGCTGTGGCCCATTGACTCTGTGACGTCATTAAAAAACGTCCATGTAGCAATCACGAATGATTTACGAGGCTCTTTCTACAAGACTAAGAATTGTGAAGTTGTATATATTTTTTTGGAACAATAAGCTATTTAGTTAGACTTAACAGGTAACGCTTGGGCCTGAAATGTGTTTTTCTATCGAAAGTTTTTAAATATATTATATTTATGAATGAAATAGCTAATAACACTCAAATACGCTGGAATAATGTGTTTGTTGTAACATGTTTTGATTAGTTATTGATTGTCACCCTAAAAGTGTAATTAACGAACGAACGATTAATGTTTCGAGATTATGATCGGAGTTGCATACTCAGTAACGGTATTGGGTATACTACAAAGCAAGTAATTTTGACATACGTCACTAAATTCTGCAATACCTCGCAATATGTCAATATTGAAATATTAAATTTATCAAATTTAAAACATAAAATGGCAACCTTTCTCAAATATTATTGTTAGCCATTTTCTAATCATTTGTTTATCTTATCGAATTGTTTACTTGAAATTTTTCCTTATTTTTTCCTAGCAATAGGTGACAACATATTTTTTATGAACATTCTAACATATCTTCTTATTAAAAATACCCTATCTATCCTACAAATTTAGCAGTTTTCTTAAAATATGTTTGAAAAAAAAAACAGAATTATTTTTATACTTTAACTCGTTTTCTTATTCTTTATAAGCGAATAAATTGTTTTATCGCAAATTTGTACACACTTTTTGCTGCCACAATGCTAATAAATGTGTAAATATGTAGTCATAAGAGAGAATTTCACAAACTTCCTAATTTGGAGTTAATGGCTCCGGAATGCCTTTTTGTATGGCTTAGTTTGGTTCCCTAATGATTTGAGTACATACCGATACATGTCTACTTATAGAAAAATGTACCTGCACATACTATATAAAAGAAACCATAGCAAATGATGCGAATTTGCCGGCTGTCTGCCCGCCCCATTTCATTACTACTTCAACCCCGACTGCATCATTTCGTGAATCCAGCCATAGCAGCAATGCAGCGAAGCGACACGGCTTCTGCGCGGTTTGTTGAACCGCCTCTGCTATTCAAGGGCACTTCTTCACATATTTGGCGCCGTGCCTTTGCGCAAGTGCTCAAAAGCGCAAATATTAAAAAGGAAATAAAAATAAACAATAACAAAAACGAAAACAGGCGACACCTCGATTTTCTCAGCTGTCGCTGTTTTTTTTGTTTCTGTTTTATGTTCTATTTTTGACGTTTGCATTATTCATTAAATGGTAAATTTGAGGCGCTTAAACTGAAACATTTTGTATCTTTCAAATTTATTTGAGTATAACACATTTTGACGATCGTGGAATGAGAGAAAATAAGAGCTACCTCAATATATTCAGTTTTTACCATATACTCGTACTCCTTTAAAAGTGGCTTGATTTTGTATCACATACGACTTTTTAAGTTCTTGAACTTTAACTCGAATTGATTAAACACTCTACCGCGCTATGTTTGGACAAATTACCTTCAGAGCTCATATACTCGTATGTGAATAGAGACAAACGATCTTATAGAGCGCAAGCAGCTCATCAGAAATTTTGTAATGCACTCAGCTGTCCAAACATAAACCGCAAGAGCATTGAAGAACTTCAAACTTTGCCGCGCTTCCAGGATGCGCGGAGCTCCTTCTTCAAAAGCTCAACACGCTTTAAGGTCTGTGTCTATTATTTTTATTTTTTCAAATTTTTTTTTTCAATTCTATGCAAAAGCTTCACATTTTTTTTCTAGATGCATTTTTAACCACACGTTTTACTCATTTGTAAGTCTAAGGCCTTTGGTCTAAGGTCGCTTTGATGTCTTCTTTGTAACAAATGCTTGTGCTTAATGTGTTTGCATGTGTGTCTTACAAAAACTTAATTACAACTTTTATATGCTGTGAAATCGTTACAAGAAAATCGTCTGACATACTTCGATCATTTATTGATAAATAGGTCAGCAAAACAAGCGAGGCAAAAGCCCATGGGCATATCGGCATTTTGTCTGCCTCCTCTTTAATTACTACTTTGAGTGCCAGAGCGGATGGTACCTGCATTTCCTACATGGTGCTGGTCCTTTCACATACGAGGTTAGTTTGATAAATCAATAATCTCTTTACAAAAAAATTTTTCCACCCAAAAATATCCCTTTATTCTGGTCATAGTATTATTTTATATTGCTAAAGGACTTTTGTTTTAATTATTTGTTCTTCATTCTACTAAGAATTCTAATAAAAATATTTCCATGTTGCTGTTGGCCTGATAAACTATGGAATTCCGAATTATTAAATTTGTGCATAATTTTTTCCGAGAAGGTCTCCGCTTCTAAAATTTTACAACATTTAAAAATGCCAATAAATAAAACATACTATGAATGTTAACATGTTATAGTCAACGACTGCGGTATCCAGAATAAAGGCAGTCTTTCTCTGGATATAAATCTCCGTATGTTTTCGTTAGGCTTACCAACTGTCTTGGGATCGGTGAATTCATGCCTCATTAGCGGTTTTCTTATTTTTTATTGATCGCATACTTGTCGTATTGCCTCTATATAATTTACAAGTCTGGTTTATACTAAACTAATTCTCATTCGTGTAGTAAAACGATCATTAAAATGTTAATATTTATTAAACAAGTGACTATTATTTTAAGTGCTCACATCATCAAAAATTGTTTTAACAACGCAGTAGCAACAAGTGATCATTAAAAATTG